CATTAAAGAAGGTCCAAACCAATGGAGAGCTGTGTTCATGGGTAAGGAGGCTATAGATTGTCTGCAAATACATTACTTCTGTCCAAGTTGATTTATAGAACCCAAGAAATTCCTATACAAACCCCAAGCAAGGATGCAGGTATGGAGAGCAGGACCGATAAAATGGCATCAGTCCGATAAAGATAGTACAAAGTGTATAAAACAAAGTGGAGACACTCTTGTCAACTAAAACGGCTCTCAGTCATGACACTTCGGTTCAACAAGGGACCTACCTAAGTCAGAGCAGACACAGCTGGCCGGGAGGCACACCTAAGCTATCCGCACACGCAGGCAGAGCAGCCGTGTCTGCAGAGCTGGACCACCCACCGGCTCCCGGGGAGATCCCCCACTTGGCATCAGGGGCGCCAAGACACTTGCAAGAGGCCCCGCAGGGCGGAGCACACCACTCCCCAGGTGTAACCGAGGCAGGCCCCAGGCCCCAGCGGACACCGCCCGCGGCCGCTCCACGCCCCGCTGCTCTCCCTGGGCATCGGGTGCCGGACGCTCTGCCCTGCTGGACGGAGGGCCTCATCTGCCCTGCAGCCCATCTGGCTCTGTGGATCCTTCTTTGCAAGACGCTGACGACCCCCCTGCCCACAGTGCTGGGTCCTGGACCTGCAGGCTGAGACTCTGGGCTCGGGTCCGATATCCTCACTGACTGCAGTGTGTGCGCGTGCTATATTCCTCTTGGAGTGTTAGAGTGTGAGGAGGGTAGGAATGCATGTTGATGTTCTACTTTGAATGAACGCGCATTCACTAAAAGCTGAGTGAACAGCACGATCCCCGTGTGTGACTTTTTGTTCCTTGGTGCCGGGCTGCTCCGCAGGCGGCCAGCCAAGCCACTGCCCGGCTGACTTACAGGAAAGGCTGTATCGCAAACCTACACTCATGACGGTGGGACATAAAATGTGATTCCAAGGTGTGTCTGGAAACACAAATTCAACTCAACACGCGCTGACCCTGCTTGGGTGCATCGGAGAATGAAGCGCGCCAGAACGCCTTGCGTAGCCTCCGTCCGGCTGGGGAGGCGCGCGGCCGACGGTGAGCAGAGTAGATTTCCCGGCGTGCAGAAGGAATAGGCGCCCCTGATGGCTGCAGAGCGGGGCCAGGACCGCGGGGCAGGCGGGGGGCAGTGTGCAGAACCAGCACATGGCAGGATGGGCCACACTGGAGGCGACACCTGCCAGGCACAAGGACAGTTCAGACACCAGTGACCAAACGTGGAGGACGTGCCTCACGGGGCCCCTGGGCATATTGTGACCTTCACAATTAAGACAGCGCAGGGTAGGTGCAGGGAACACGAATTCACAAGTGGAACACAATAGAGAGCTCAGACACTGACCCTCGTGCGCAAGGACACTGGATTTGAGACAAGGGCAGCGCGGCCCAGCCGTGGGAAGGAACGGACTTTTCAACAAATGGTGCTGGGACCACGTTTATATGAGGCAAAAACGTGACACTGCACTCTGACCCGAGCCCACCCTCCAAGGTTGACCCCAGCTGGATGAGAGACGCAAATGCGAAAGGCAGGGCCGGAGGCAGCGCGGGGGCAGCCAAGCTCCTGAGGTAGGAAAGCACTGCCTGAGCAAGGCAGTGAGAGCACTAGCCATCCGGGACCGGGACCGGCTGTCCCCACGGTGTCTCCAGGCCCGTGAGCAGCGCCTGATGCACGGCAGGTGCCCGGCCGGGTTTGTTTAGGGAATGGACGAACCTCCGGCTTGTTGGCACATACTATGGACGCCAACCTTGGGAATGGGTGGTGGGGGACGAGAGGAAGGACAGTCACCATGCAGCTCCCTCTCCTGGGGGGCCAACGTGGGTCCAAGCCCTGGCTGAGCCATCCAGCCAGTTGACCTTGGACAAATGACCTCACCTCTCTAAACCTTAACCTCCCCCTCCGTGAGGGGCGGGGTGGGGTCCCTCCTGGGGGACACTTCCTAGCAGAATGCCAGGTGCCCACCCTACCCACGTAGGGGGCAGTTCTCAACCCCACCCCACCCGTGGGAGCAGGAGGCCCTGCGGCCCTGCCCCCACCCACACAGCGGACAGTCGCTGAGTCCCAGGACTGGGCGTGGCCATTCTGGAGTCACGCACATGCCCTCTTGTCATCAGAAATGGGGCCACTCGTGTCATCAGGGAGGGAAAGGCCTTTGTCCAAGTTCGACAGCCCGTAGGAAAGGGGTCTTGGGAACAGAGCTGCCTCATAAAGCGGTCAGCCTGGCGCCGGGTGCAGCCCTGGGGGCTCCAAGCACGGGGCCTGCGCAGAGACGTGCGGCCAGGCCCTGGCCGGGGCTGGGCCCGGCGTCCATCCACCTGCTCCTGGGCGTCCCAGGGTTGAAGTCGCACAAAAAGCACCGAAGCACAGGTCCCTCTTGGGGAGGCTGGAGCCCGGAGGAGGAGGAACTCACACGAAACGGTCAACGTTTTAAAAGGGCATCGCTAGCGATTGCTGTCCTGCACCCAGCCTCAGGCAGCGGGCGGCTCCGAACCGCCATAGCAGAGCAGGAATCTATAGAAACAGTCAATAGCCCTGCACAGCGGCGAGGTGCCCAGAGGGAAGCTTCCCCGTTGGCCGGCGCAGGGGGCCCCAGGGAAAGCCGGGGGGGGGGCCGGGTGTGGCGGGGGGGGGGCAGGGGAGGGGTCCCCACGTCCCCACCCCAGCAGTCGCTCGTTTGCTGTTTTTGCTTTTCTTTTTGCTGATTAGTGTTCCTTTAAGTGCATGCACTTCAATTTCTCCATTCTCCTGGTGATGGGTTTTTGGGTTGCTTCCAGTCTGTGTTATGAATAACGCTGCCCAAACCATGCTTGCCCAAGTCTTTTTCCAGACATATGTTTTCATTTCTCTTGGGCAGCCTGGCAGGTGCATTGCCGGATTCATAGCATGGGACCCATTGGATTGGATCGGAAAGTGGGTATTTTTGAATTGCATAAGCAATTGACAAAGGGTCTTTGCAAAGTGGTGACCACTTTCAACTCCCACCAGAAATGTTTGAGGGTTTTGCACTTTCAACTCCCACCAGAAATGTCTGAGGGTTTCGGTTGCTTCATATCCTTTTTTTTTTTTTTAAGATTGTATTTATTTATTTTTAGAGAGAGGGGAAGGGGAGGAGAGAGGGAAATATTGATGTGATTGCCTCTTGAGCGCCTCCTGCAGGGGACCTGGCCTGCAACCCAGGCAGGTGCCCTCACTTGGAACTGAACTGGTGACCCTTTGGCTCACAGACCAGCACTCAGTCCACTGAGCCACACCAGCCAGGGCTCGGCTGCTTCATATTCGTTGCAACGTACGACACAGGGGGCCTCTTGCGTCCTGGCCACCCCAGCGGGCATGCAGTAGCAGGCTGGACGTTAGTGAGGGCGGGGCATCTCCTCGCAGGCTCCTTCCTTTTAGGGCGAGGGTGCTCGAACTTCCCCCGGCGTCTGCTGTGAGCATTTTGTGTGGGTGCCTCTTGCAAAGCTGGGGAGGTGCCCTCCGCGGCCCGTCAGCTGCGTGGCTTTCTCACACACCGCGGTCTCGCTTGCCCGGGGCCGCTGCCACACCTGCGGAGACTGCTGCGGGCTGTGTTCTCCTTCATTCTGTTCCTGCAGAGAATTACCCCGGTTCATTTTCAAATACAGAGCCAAAGGTATTTATATACGTATGAGGGGGGACCCAAGAAAAAAATAGATTTATTAAAACTTCTGTATTTATTCTTACATGTTTAAACGTCAGGCACCCTCATAGTGCTCTCTATTTGATGCAATGCCTCCATCGAGGGATTTTTCCCCGCGGCTCAGAACAGTGTTTGAACTCCTCGATTTTGATGCCTTGTAGGGCTCCTGCTGTTTGTTTCACTTCTTCCGCATCAGCAAAACGTTTCCCTTTAAGGACATTTTTCATGGGGGGAAACAAAAAAAAGTTGCTACAGGTGAGTAGGGAGGGTGGGGCACAGGGGCCATGCCGTTTTTTGTCAAAAACTGCTGAACACTCAGCCGAGGGTTGGCAGGTGCGCTCCGGATGGAGTCTTGAAAGAGTTTTCAACAAAGAATTCACTGAGGCCGCTCGCAGCCTCTCACAACGCCGCCGGCTGGTGCACCGATCCAGGCGGCCTCCTGGAACACTCGCCTAGCGGAGGAGGCCTGTCCTACAAGGGCCCGCCCTCCAGAAGACAGTCCCAGTTTTGGGGGGTCCCCCCTCATACACAGTGCTGGATTTGATTCGCTAATATTTTGTTAAGGATTTTTTGTTTAAAGCCTCATCCAAGGATATGCATTTTGTTTGTTTGTTTGTTTGTTTGTTTTTAAGAGAAAGAGAAGCACTGGTGTGAGAGAAAAACATCGATTGGTTGCCTCCCATACCCGGCCGGACCTGGGATGGAACCCACAACCCAGGCATGTGCCCTAACGGGGCTCGAACCCGCAACATTTTGGTGCCCGGGCCAACGCTCCCACCCACCGAGCCCAGGCCGCGCCGGCCTCCCCTTTCCTTCTTCTGTCCTTGACGGACTGGGCGGGGGCTGGGGGGGGGGGCGTCCCCAGGTGCCTGACAGCAGCGACCTGCACACCTGAGTGCCAGGCGGGGGCCACATGCCCCAAGCCTACAATGACAAGGAAGATTCAACATCAGAAGACACAGGAACAGCCCCCGGCACGAAAAGGCACGGCCTCGAGTTCTGATTTACAACTTCTACCCGGTAGAGACGGCGGGGGCCTGCAGTCATCTGGCTTCCGGGGTCTTGGCGGCCCTGACCCCTAAGCTATTGGGGCAGCCCTAGCGCAATCCACCGCCGCGGGCGCTGGGAGTCACGAGGCCGCGGCGTGGTTGCCTAGGAAACGCCCACGTGCCTCCGCAGGGCTTCCCGGGTCTCGTAGTCCGCCGGCGGCCTCGCTGGGGCCGGCCACGTGTGGGAGAACTACAACTCCCAGGAGGCAGTGCGGTGAGGGCGGGGCCTGGCAGGACCTCTTGGTCTCAGCGCGGGGTCTCCGCGGCCGGAGTAGAAAGATGGCGTCGCTGACAGTCGGACCGTGGCTGTTCGGCCTCCTGGCGCCGTCGCTGCTGCTGCTCCTGCTCGGGCCCTGGCAGGCGGCGGGCCATGGCGGCAAGTACTCGCGGGAGCAGAACGAGGCCGAGCGACCCCCGACGCGCGAGCCCGGGGCCGAATTCCGCATGGAGAAGCTGAACCAGCTGTGGCGTAAGGCCCAGCGGGTGAGCTGCCGGGCCGGGGGCCGGGGTGGGAGGTCGCTGCCGGCCGGTGGGGTTGGGGTCCTCCGGGAACTGCGTGTGTCGCTTTCCCCCGCCTCAGCATTTCCGTCCTGACTTCCCGTGAAGGTCTCCAGTTCCTCTTTGATGCAACGAGCGTTCGTGGGGTCTGGACGCCTGCGGACTTTGGCGATACCCCGGCGTCCCGGGGTTGGGGGAGTCGCGGAAGGCCCGCGAGGGGTCTTGTCCGCCGGGCTCAGGGTCATGTGCTGCTGGGGTGGCAGAGCGCCCGGGAGCAAGGTCCTGGGAGCCGCGAGCTCCTGTCGAGGGTTCTTGTCCTCACTCTGCCGTGAGGACAAACTGTTTAAGCGTTTGTACGCCCAGGCGGGTGCCCCGACGGGGAGGGAGCTCTGTGGGACCGCCCCGGTGTTCCTGAGCGCCGCCAGAGGCCGGTTCCCGTCCCTGGGGCACCGGGAGGGACCCCGAAGGGCGGACCCGGGGAGGGCTTCACCTGGGTTCCAGGCAGTGGGCGGGGCGGGGCGGGGCCGGGCCGTCCCGGGAGCGCGCCTGCGGGCAGGGGTCTCAGGCCCCACCCGGGGCCGGCGGCGCTGCTCTGAGGCCGCACACTGCCCTGCAGGGACTAAGCTCCCTACACCTACACGGTCGCTAGGCTGGAGGCTGGGAGCTGTGGCCGATTTCCTCCAGATTTTTTTAACCGCTTTGTTGCATATTTAGTATGTACACCTGGATGAGTTTGAAATGCTGTGTGTACACTTGTGGGGGCGTTGTCGCCTTCTACGCCACAAACTTGCGCAGGTAGTGCTTGTCTCGTAGTCACTGGTGATTTTCTCCACTGTTTAATGTTGGACGTGTTCTTCTATGCACTTGGCTTCTAACTAGTACTTTTCACAGGAGGTGTTGACAGGTAACTGTAACTGTAACTTAAGGAGATGATGGAAGAATCCCGAGGGACCTGGAGCAGCGCTCTGAGGAGTGGGGGCTGGCGGTCCCTCCCGGAGCCACACAGGTCCTGCTGGGGCCCCGTGTCAGCTCACATTGAGGCTGCCCTTGGCCACTCTCCACTCCAGGAGTTACTTGAGAATGGCAGGTCCTGGGGAGGCGGCAGGTGGCGGGTCTGCAGTGAAGCTGCTGCAGGACCTCTCAGAGCTTTTAACATGCTGAGGTCGTGCAGTGGGGTGGGGGTAGCCCCCCACCCAGCGGCCGGAACCCACTTCCAGGAGCCCAGCCTGGGTCTGAGCCCTGAGGTGCATTTGGCCCCTGCGCGCACTGCGGCAGGCAAATCCGCGTCGCAGGGAGGACCCAGCGCCCGGCCTGCAGCGGTGGGACCCGCTCTTCTGGCCTGGGGACGCTCTGGTGTGGCTTTACAAGTCAGCCGTTGAACTCGAGAATCCCGAAGCAGGTTTGTTTTTTCTTAACATTCAGAATGCCTTCGTGTTTCCAGTTAGTGTCTCCAGTTAGTGTCATTTGTATCAGCGACTGCAACGCTGTAACTTGAGCATTTCACAGAACTCTAGTGGGTTAGGATTCTAAGGGTGGGAGTAAAAACAGAAGGACAGGAAACAGGAGGGTTTTAGGTTTCACACTTCTGTTCAGACTCCGAAATCAAAACTGTTTTCTCCTGTGCTCAAAACCAGCTCACACTGGACGCAGTTGGAGCTTTTATCCCACGGCTCAGCTGCGGGGCCAGGGGCTCATGAGGACCCGCTTGGCCCAGCGGCCCTTCCCTGTGGTTCTTCTGGGGTTGCCTGGCACACAGGCATCCTCTCGACCAGCACTGCTCCCTCACCTCCGGCCCCGTGGCGGGCCCTGCCCCCGGGAGGGGCCCTGGTCTGCTCGCGCCATCGTTCCCCCGGCGGAGGATCCTGGTCCATCCGAGAGGTGGAGAGAGCCAACGCATCAGACTAGGGGGCCGATGAGAGGTGGAGACGGGAAGTCTGAGCTTAGGGTGATTTCCCTCTGGAGGCCCTTCAAAGCCTGTTCTTCACCTTCGTTTTGCGGGGAACCATGAGCTCGGGTCTGCTCATAGTAACCCCGGCGCGGGCAAGCCGCCAGTGCGGTGCCCGGCGTTGCCCCCTGATGCTGAGGGCCTGTGTGCAGCCAGCATGGGGCGGTCGTCCCTCCTCCTGCAGGTGGGCACGCACACCCCAGCCCACGCGGGCCCTGGAGCCGGCCCTCCCCGCAGGACGGCCGGGCACTGGGGACGCCCACTCGCCCAGGCCTGGGCTGCCGTGGGGGTCGGTCGTGGGTTCCTCCGGTGGGGTGTTGTCAGGCACGCAAACTAACTGCCTTTACAGCAGCCGGTCTAACGGGACTGGTGAGAGCCGTCGCGGGTCATTTCCGCTGGGAGGGACGGCGCTGGCGCGAACCTGGCGGGGCTCCGGGCCAAGCAGGGCGGCGGGCTCTCGGGGGCTGGAGGTCCTGCCCGGCCCCTCGCCAGCGCCTCCGCCAGCCGGCACCTGCTCCCAGGAAGACTTCCTGGCCAGTGAGCCGTGGCGGTGTTTTGTTCTTATTTGGTTTTCTTTAAAGAAGTTTCTCATAAATTCAGCCTTCTGTCTTCCTTTGCGGTCGCAGTTGCACGATACGAGAACTGGCTCCTTCACCAAGCCCCACGTTCACGCCCCTGCATCCTCCCGCCCCGCTGACCCAGGCGCCCGGTGGCTGCCCCAGGGTCCAGGGCAGGAAGGCGGGGCGCCCCTCACCTTCTCCTCCTGCGTCATGGGCTCAGGCCACTGGTAGCGGTGGCCCCCTGGGGACGTGCGGTGCCGTGGCTTGTCGGCGCGAGGCCAGTGGCCCCCACGTGGTGGGGCCGGGGCCCTGGGGAGGCGCCCTGCAGGCCTGGGTGCGGGATTTTGAAGGGCGGGGGCTCTTGACTCCATGTTCTGCTCAGCTCCCAGGGCCTCCCGGTCCCCCGTCTCGGGTCCGCGCCCCCCGGCCCGTGTCATTGGCCACTTGTCACATGTCCCCTGCCCACGTCCCACAGCTGCAGCTGTCTCCTGTGGAACTGTCCGAGCTCCACGCCGATCTGAAGATACAAGAAAGGGATGAGTTCGCCTGGAAGAAACTGAAGGCCGAAGGCTTAGATGAAGATGGGGAGAAAGAAGCGAAACTGACACGCAACCTCAACGGTACCCAGTACCCTCCTTCCTGGTCTCTGGGCTCTGTGGTCTGACTCATCCTGTGGGCGGGAACCACGGAGGGAGCCGTCCAGGCAGGTGTGAGTCACACACAGCGAAACGCAGATCCCAGTGACACGGTCTCAGGAGGTGACAGGCGTGTTCGCCGGTGTGACCGCACTGGCCAGGGTCCCGGCGCAGGGGCGGCGCTGGTGGCTCGGAAGGGGCCCCTGCAGTTCAGCGGGGACTGGACGGGCGTCTGGCGCCCAGGGAGTCCCCGCGCTCAGAGGCACACGTTTGTCCCGGCCCGTCCTCCAGCCCTGCCACAGCAAGGGCATCCCGGGCACCGGCGGTGTCAGCGGAGCAGGGCCTCCCTGACCCGGGACTGGGCTGCCCCGCTGGGGGACGAGGGCAGAGGGCGGGAGCCACGGGGCGCCTGGCGGGGCCTGGTTGTGTCCAACAGGTGTCTGTCCGTGGGAGGCGCTGGGGTCTGGGGTCGGGAATGGGGTGCAGGGGAGAAGCCCTGTGCCGGGGCCCCGGGGGAGGTCCTGGAAGGGAGGGGAGCGGGTTCTGCGGCCCAGGAGGAGCAGCGCGCCCACTTCCGGCTGAGGGCCCAGAGTCCCCTCCCCGGGCAGGTCCCGCAGAGGGCACGGTGCCCAGCGGTGCCTGGAGGGGGCATCACCGCCCACAGAGCTGCGGCCCCGCTGGGCACCGGCCCCACATGCTTGGAGACCACAGTGGGCGCCGCTGAGAGCCAGCACCGGGCACGTCCCCACAGTGACCGGGAGGCGGCAGGCTGGTGGCTCATCCGTGGGGAGTTGCTGGCGCCAGTCTGTCCTTTAGAAAACCTTCCCGCAGCACAGGTGCGGGCTGGCTCAGAGGCCCCCAGCCACAGTGCCGCCGTGTGCTGCCCTCCGCCCCACCCTCACTGGACGTGGGCGAAGAGGCTTGGCTTTGAAAACCCACGAGGCCGGTCTGTAGACGACCCCAGTGGTGCCGGCCGGGCCTGCTCACGGCGGGGCCCAGAGCGGCCACTGTCGTCGGGGTGGGGCCCTAAGCTGCTGTCCCCGCTGTCAGAGCGGCGCCCCAAGTGGCACCAGAAACGGGCGGGCAGAGGGAAGCCGCAGGAGGTGGAGGCAGACCCCGGCCTGACCAGCGGCCCCCTCTCCCAGTCATCCTGGCCAGGTACGGCCTGGACGGGCGGAAGGACGCCCGGGCACAGAGCAGCAACTTCCTTGACGCGGGCACCGAGCAGGACAGCCTGGAGGACCCCCGGCTGGAGAAGCTGTGGCACAAGGTACCTCGGTGCTCGCTGCGGACCCTGGGGGCTGCCGCTCGGGGGCCTCTGCCCTGGGCCTCTTCATGGCACTGGCCTGGCTGGCACAGGGACTGCTGGGCGAGGGGCGGGGGGCAGCCGCGCCTTCGCTCTGCGTCTGCGTTGAGTGGCGCCGGAGCCTGCGGGCAGAGCCGCGATTCTGAGGGGTGTCCTCCCCCGGGGGTGCACAGCTGAAGCGGTTGCAGCGCCAGGCGTGGTGGGGCGCTCGCTTCTCTCCCTGTTGCCTGCCGGCCCCTGTCCAGGATGCTCTGTCTGGACCACGTTGCAAGGGGTCAGGAGTCAGAATTCTCCTACCAGCTCCTCGTCCTCCGTTGCGGGGGGGGGGGGGGGAGGGCCATGGGGAGGGGGCCCCTGACCAAGCTCCCCGGTTACGCATGTCACCCCACGGCCACGGGGCGCCCAGCCCACAGTGGGGCTCTCTTGGCCGCCTCCCTCGCAGGCCCAGACCTCGGGGAAGTTCTCCAGGGAAGAACTGGACAAGCTCTGGCGGGAGCTCCAGCACCACAGAGAGAAAGTGCGGGAGTACAACATGCTGCTGCAGACCCTGAGCCGGACAGAGGGTGGGTCCTGCCTGCCCTCCCCGCGCGCGGCCCTGCCCCACCGGGCTGCGGGCGCGGGCGTGGGGCCGGCTCTTGCCTGTCCGCTCGGCTTCTGAGGGGAACCTCAGAAACATTTGGGAGCCCCCCGTCAGGGTGCCTTTGATAGGTGCGGGGACACGCTGGTCAGACGGGGCGCGTCTCCAGGGGCTCGGCGCCCTGCTGGCCACGCCCCCGCGGACACCGCGTTCTGACTGGGACTTCGGACGGCGCTGCAGTTGGTCTCAGGACCCACCCTCATCACGGGTGCCGCCCCTCAGGAAGCCGGCGGGCACCCTGGAGGGCTGGGGCGCCCTCAGGCCCCTCGTGGGTGGCCCCCCTGCGCGGGCCGCCCGGGAACGAGGGTCCCCGTGCCTGTGCCTTCAGAGGGAGGGGCTGGGGGACGGGGACTGCGCAGCCACCGCTGAGCCTGAGGAGGGACAGATGCTCCAGCCAGAAGCAAGAGCGCGCGGGAGGCTCGGCGGCGGGTCCCCGGGGCCCCTCAGGCACCGACCGCGTTCCCTGCAGAGATCCGGGAGAACGCCATCAGCCCCGTGGACATGAGCCGCGCGCAGGAGGAGGCCGTGCTGCACGGCAAGCACGCGGAGCTGAAGGACCGGCTGCGAGGCATTGACCAGGGCTACGACCGCCTGCGGAGGGTCAGCCACCAGGGCTACGGCGCGGAGGCCGGTGAGCGGGGCGCGGGGCCGCGGGCAGGCGCCCTGGGCTCCTCTCCGGGCCTCTCCTCGGGGGGCGTCGCGCCGCTTGGCTTGCCGTCTCCCTGTGCCCTTCCCGTGTCGCGGCCCCCTGGCGCTCGTGTCAGTCCGGACAGTTGGTCGCACTGGTAACGGCTCCCACGGGGCGGCCTGTCTGTACCGACACCGCCTCCCTGAGCCCCAGGTCCACTGCCCACCAGGCCCCGGCCGCGGGAGGCGGCCACCTGCCAGCAGGTCCTGTGAGCTACGGGCCGGGCACACGTGGCGAGAGCGGTGCACGTGGTGGCGCGTGCGCCCACGCACCATGCGCACGCTTACACACACGGCCCTGGCAGCCGGGTGGGAGGCGCGGGCCGGGGGTGCGCGCGGCCCTGAGGCTGCCGTGCTCTCCGCCAGAGTTCGAGGAGCCGCGTGTGGCGGACCTGTGGGACCTGGCCCGGTCGGCCAACTTCACGGAGGAGGAGCTGGAGGCCTTCCGGGTAAGAGCCGCGCCTGCCTTTTGCGCTTCGTAACAGCGTGCCGGAGCCGCTGTCGCCTTGTTGTTCTTCGTGGGGGTGGGTTAGCGTCACAGGGACGCCGTCCTTCCTCCCCTGGGCGCCCCCCCCCTCTCGTCTGGGTGGCAGCCCGAGCGGGACCGCGGGGCAGAGGACCTGCGGGCCGGGGCGTTGGGCATTGGGAGCCCGTTTGGGGGGACTCAGCGGTCCAACCCGCCCCTCCAGGAGGAGCTGAAGCACTTTGAAGTGAAGATTGAGAAGCACAGCCACTACCAGAAGCAGCTGGAGATCTCGCACCAGAAGCTGAAGCACGTGGAGCAGCAGGGCGACCAGGAGCACGTGAGCCGGAACCGGGAGCGCTACGCCCTGCTGGAGGAGAGGACCAAGGAGCTGGGCTACAAGGTGGGGCCGGCCTCCCCTCGGAGCCTCCGTTTCCCCTGCCAGGGGGCTGGGCGGGGGCCTCGGGCTCGTGGCCTGGCTCCCACACGAGCTGCCCGGGGCGGCTCGGCGGCTCCCGGGTCCGCGTGCAGGCCGCTGTGGCCTGGCCTTCATCCGGTCCGTGTGGGGGTCACGCTGGCCCTTGAGGAGGTGGGGACCAGCCCAAGGCTGGGGTGGTGGCCCCGGGCCAGCTCTGTGCCACGGTGCCTGCTCTGTAACAGCCAGGCTGCCCCACCCCCGGTGGGGCCACGGCTTAGGGGGCGTGGGCAGGCGCCGTCCAGGCACCGGAAGGTGAAGGGCCTTTACCTAGGGGGCCTCTGGTGTGGGCTGGGTGGAGGGCGTGGCATGGTGGCGGGGACGTGGAGGGGCAGGGGCAGCAAGGGTGTCCCCACCGGGCGCAGTGACCTGGACTCTGCAGGGTGCGATACGGGGGGTGCTCCCGAGCCTTTGGGACCACAGGGACGTGTTGCTACGAGAGTAAACGGCCGCGTGGCCCGGTGCCTGCTTTTGGTGGTGTGTGGGAGAAGCCATGCGCCACAGCGCCTGGGCGGTCAGCTTTAAATGGGCCTTGAGATGCGGGAGTTTGTGGGGGGCCGTCGCCCGGCGGGGAGGTGCCTGTGGGAGGGACTGTGCTCCTGGGGGTGGCGCCCCCAGCAGGCAGGGTCTGGGGGAAGCAGGCGGGGGCTGCCCGGAGCGGAGGGCGCTTCCCACGCGGGGCCAGGCGGGCGGACCCCCGCTTCTGGCCCCCAGCCCCTCGCACCCTCAGGTGGCGTCCCATGTGCTGCCGAGTTGTGCTGATGGCTTGTTTGGGACTGTCTGCGGGAGGCAGAGAATGGGAAGGTGGCGGAGCTGAGCGGTGACCCCGCGTCCCCGGCCTGGGCCGGCTCTGTCCGCAGGTGAAGAAGCACCTGCAGGACCTGTCCAGCCGCATCTCGAGGGCGCGCCACAACGAGCTCTGACCGCCCGGCCCCGGAACACGGAGGGCCGTCTGCGTGAGCGGGACCGTGGGAAGTGTGGCAGGCGCTGCGTGCTGCCGCCGGCCTGCCCCCGGCAGAATGGCTGCCCTCGCGGCTGGCGTGCCGCCCCGGCTGCCGGCTGACCAGCGTCCTCAGGCCGCAGCAGCACGGTCGGCGCCGAGGGCGGGATCCCTGAGCAACAATCACAGTGTTTAATTTTGATTCATCAGCAACCCTGCGCCTCCCTCAGCCATCTCTGCCTCGTCCCAACCCTGCGACTTGGCCTCAGAACCCACGGTGACCTCAGCCCCTGGCGTGGCTGGGGCCCTGGGACCCTGCCAGCCCGAGGGGCCCCTCTTCCCCTCCTCGCCCCTGACGGCCTCTGCGCTCAGGTCAGTGCCGCGGGCGTTTTCCTGCCCAGCCCTGTCCCGGGGAGCTATGCCGACCATCCCCGAGGGTGGGGGCCGGACCCCGTCTGGACCGAGTGGCCACACCGGAGCCCGCCAGGCGCCTGCCCGTTCATCCAAGACATGGCCATGCGCTGGGTGGGGCTCGCGCTTCGTGGTGCCGTGGCCGGGGGCCGGGCTGCCCTGGGCTCCCGGGTCTGGTCGGGCTCCGGCTCCTTGGCGGTGCCCCAGCCCCTCTGTCACGCACACTCCGTGCTGTCCCTCAGCGGGGTTGGTGCCCTGGTCAGCAGTCGGGCGAGCACGTGGTGTGGGTCACGGCAGCTCCGTCAGCGGGGGCGCGGCCTCCTCGCGTCACGGCTCGTTCGAGGCCTTCGTGTTTCCACGGACGCGGTCGGATCAGCTCCCAGATTCCCACGGAAGAGCCCACTAGGTTCTGGGCTATGAGCCCGCGGCCCCTGTGGGGAGCGGGCGGCACGGCCGCCCGGGGTCTTCCCCGCCAGGAGGTCAGCACACGGTCCCTCCGCTTGGCCCCCTCCCTGGGCCACAGTGCCCTGGCTTCAACACGCGGCCTTCGCGCGCAGCAGCCGTGCCCCTGGAGGTCCCGCCCTTTCTGCCGGCACGAAGGGCAGGCTTCCGGTTTGTCTCTGGGCGGCTCCCTGTGGGGCCCCCACGACCCGTCCCCTCGGGCTCCGTGTCCGTGGCCCCGCCTTGGCCGTGAGCACGGCAGGCTCTCCACCGATGGCCACCCTGCGCCCCTGCCTGGCCAGGGCGGCCGTCCGCAGGCGGCAGTGGCAGAAACTGGCTTCTGAGGCCAGGTGGCGGCGGCCCACGTCCACCACAGGCGGCGTCACGTGACTTCTGCACGCGTGGCGGACTTCGTGCGTGGAGCTGTGCGGCCTGGAATCCCCTTGTGCTGAGTCTTTGGATTAAGAACTCAATTTTAAAAATAGATATGGGGCTGTTTGCACCTTATGATTCTTGTGTCTTTATTTTAAAGATGTGTATGAGGGGACTTCGCCTAAGCCGTCGCAGGGCTGGGCGTGAGGTTGCCCCCGTCCCCCCCCTGATGGCTGCTGACCTGACAGCCGTGCCCGTGCTCTCCCCTGAGGTGCGGGGGGGGGGTGTGGAAGTGCAGATGCCTGAGCCCCTGTCCAGAGGGCCCCCCCACACGCCGGAGCCCTGGACCAGGGGGTGCGGCCATGCCTTGCCCCGCTTGTAGCTTCAGAGGGGAGCCCTGCTCCCTTGGAATCGCGCCTCAGCCCAGGACCGCGCTTGGTCACTGGAATGTCCCTCCCCAGCGCCCCCCAGGGCAAGGAGGCCGGTGTCCTGGAGACGGGCGGCTGCAGGGGCTGGGGCAGGGTGTCTGCCACCGGTGTTCCCCATGGGCGGCTCCCACGGGCTCACTGGTCGGGGGGACGGGTGGGTGAGGATGGGGGGACGGGTGGGGGTGGGTGAGGATGGGCGGACAGGTGGGGGTGGGTCCGAGACGCCTGCTGTTGGAGCCCGGTCGGGCACAGTGGGGCCCCCTCATCTGCGAGACCAGGGCAGGAGGACCCAGCCCAGGCAGCCCCCTTGTGCCCTGGGCCTGGGGAGAAATAACAGGAAGCCCCCCCTGCTCTGGAACCCTCCCAGCCTCTAGACCCACGTGGGCTGCCGGAGCCAGGACACCGCCACCTCCAACCGCAGCCCGCGAGGTTGTGGACGGGCTGCTCGGCTCCCCCGAAGCCTGGGCCCTGGTGGGAACACGTGGGAACCCCCACCTGGAGCCACGCAGGGGGCCGTACCCAGCCCTGCACCTGCGGCCACGTCGCGACGAGCACAGGGGCCGGGGGCCGCCGGGCAAAGCCGCAGCCGCTGCCAGCCCGGCACGTGACGGCGCGCGGGCCCTTCGGGAGGGAGGAGGGCGTGCATGACTAGAAGCGGAATGTTGACAGTTCCGAGCTGTTCACGCGACTGACTGCGTCGGGTCCCAGGGAGCCCGGGTCAGCCAGGGCCTGGGGGCCGCGCCGGGGCTTGGCCAGGCAGGGCGGCGCCGGAGACCCTGCCCCCGCGGCTGCAGGGCGCCCTGCCTGCCTGCCTGCGGTTTGGGGACGCGTCCCGCTCTGGTCTAGTCAGACGCTGCCACCTTGGGGAGGGGAAGGGCGGAGCCCAGGGACAGTCAGGAGCTGCCTCCCTGCTTGTCCCCAGGGACTCGATGCGACCAAAGGCGGGGGCAGCCCTGGGCTCCAGGGTCGGCCATGCCCCCTGCCCCGCGCCCCCTGCCTGGAGGCCACAGCAACAGCCCAAGACCTCAGGACACAGTACAGGCGCCCACTGGGAGGCTGACGTCAGGCCCACTGTCTCCATCGCGCGGCCGCCGTGCAGGGCGAGGGCCGCTCAGCGGGGGACCCCCTTCCGCCGGGGCTCCAGCTCGGCCAACCGCTCCTCCCGGGCCTGTGCGTGCTGGGTGCCCGCCCTGTGGGCCGCCGCCGTGGCCGCCAGGTCGATCTGTGCGTAGCGGGCGGCACCGGTCCCTGAAAACAGCCCCATGTGAGCGGGCCCGAGAGACCCAGGAAGCCCCCTCCTCTGCAGCGGCCTTGGCCTGGACAGGGTGGCTATGGTCCCCAAGGCGCCCACCCCCGTTGCCGCGTGGGGACCCACCTCGGACGCCGGCGCCGGCCTCCGGGAGCTCCAGGCCCAGGTAGTGCAGCTGCGTCCTGGGCGCGGGGCTGGCGGGGAGGTTCGCGTAGGGGGGCGCCTCGGGCCCCGGGGCCCCTGCAGGGATATCACTGTGAGTCCTGGGGGCCGCTGGGGGCGGGGCTGGTGCCCAGGACCGTGGCAGCGCTTCCCGCCCGTCTCCTCCCGTCTCCCGCCTGCCGCTTCAGTGGGGTTTGGGGGGCCTCCTTGATTGTCCTGGGCCGTCTTTGTCCACCCTGAGACCCCCACCCCAGTGCACCGCCCTGTGGCCGTGGGCGACCCCCAGGGCCCACGCCAGTGCCCACGCTTTTCTGCTTTGTGCTCTGCGGCCAGCCGCCCACCTCCCTGGCCACGGTCCCCTCGGGTCGCCCGCGCCCGCCCCCCCCAGGCAGGACAGCGCCAGCCCCCCCGGTGGCGGTCCTGGGTCACCCCGCCCCCCCCGGGTTTCGGGCCCCTCGGCAGGCCCACCCTCGTCACCGCGCCGCCCCTTCACCACGGCCACGGGCACGCCGCGTCCCCTCCACTGTCCCAGGGGCTGCTCACTGGGGCTCAGGGTGGGCCCCCCAGGAGGCCCTGCCGACCCCTGGCTGGAGGCGGGACCCGACCACGGGGTCCAGGCCCCAGTCCCAGCAGCCCCCCGCCCCGACGCCCTGGCCGCGGGGCCCCGCGGGAGCGCAGCCCACCACCCTGTGTGGTGCAGGTCCCCTGGCGGTCACCGTGGCCGCTGTGACCCCTGCCTCCCTGTCCCAAGCTGTGCGGGAGCCGTTCCAAAGCCAGCCTACCTGGACGTGCCGGGGGCCCGGGGGGCGAGGCCGCTGCTGCCTAGACCAGAGAGAGCGCGGTCAGCCGTCCGGCCGGCCCCCACCCACCCAAACCTGGCCGAGAGCCAGGATGCTAACCCCAGGGCAGCACAGGGCAGGGGCCGGGTCACCCACGGGGAGACCAGCCCGGCCCCGCGCCACGTGCCCCAGGCCTGTCCCTGAGCCGCCACCCGCTGGGCCCCGTGTGGGGAGGGGACTTAGGAACGCGAGCCCCCAGTCCGCCCAGCCTGTGCAGTTCTGCTGGCTCGCAGCCGGGTTTCCTGAGGCGCTGGGAGGGGCCAGACTGCGGCCGCATCCCCTGGCCCGGCCAGGCGGCAGAGCAGCCTGACCAGGCGCCTCTCCCAGGGGAGGAAGGGACTCTGATGCCAGCAGATTGGGCCAGAGGGACGGCTGGCGCACACAGTGCCCCAGGGCCTCCGCCTCCCGCAGCCCAGAGGGGCCGGGCCCCCAGGGCCGGGCGGGCGACCGGAGGAGCCTTGGCGCGGGCAGCCCGCAGGGCCTCGTGGCCGGATCGGGGCTGGCATGGGGTGCGGAGCCCGGCCTGCTTTCCGGGAGGGCTGGGCGCTGCCAGGCGGGGCACGGAGCCCCGCCTCCGGTCCTGGGCCAGGCTCCCGGGCGCTGGACTGCTCGCAGCTGTCACCTTGCATGAAGGAGCCGCCTGCGTTCCCGGGGCCTTGGCCAGGGCACGCTGGCCTTCAGTACTCAGGACACGCGGCCGACGGCCTCCAGAGCAGGTCGCTCGCACGCCAGCCTCCAGACCCAAGTTCCCACACTGCCCCCTGCCCCCAGAGCTGCCCACCCCGCAGACGGCCCCACCTCCCAGCCAGCCCTGCAGGTCCAGGAGGCACCAGGTGCCGGGGGAAGGAGCACGCGCGGGGCCACCACATGTCCCTCCCTGGGGGCCAGGACTGGGGCAGGGCCAGGCCAGGCCAGGCCCCGGAGACAGGACTCGAGGACCAGGGGGAGCGCCTGGGCCCTGCCCCAGCTCTCAGTGGGGGGCTCCAGGGCCCCTGAGAGGCCTTCTCATGTGAGAGGCCATGATCCCTCAGAGCCCCCAGAGGGCCTGGCCGCCAGTGGCCACTCCCACGAAGGGCCCCTCCCTCCTCCGGGGGAGGCCTGGAGGCCCCCGGCCCAGCCCCCGCCCACCACGTCCTCCATGCCTCCTGCAGCCACGGACTGGGCTGACGGCCCGGCCGCCTGAACTTTGCCCGAGTCCCCACCCAGGAAGCCCGCGGTCCACCCCTCCTGCCTCACCCCGCGCCCCCCTGTGGCCCTTCCCTCGAGTCCCAACTGTCTGCCTCGGGGGAGAGACGCCAGCCCGCAGCCAGACGCCCACGCGGGGCAGGGGCAAGTGGAAGGCGCAGCTCCCTGCTCCCTGGCTTCATGGGCGTGGGGGGGCGGCAAGTCACTCAGCTGCTGGGGCCTCAGCCAGTCCCTGCGGGAGGGATGCCTGCCCCTCCCCCGCTGTCCGTGGGCCAGGGACGGGTGGGAGGTGGCGGGACTGAGCCCAGACCTCCGGGGTCACCGCCCCCATCCCACCCTCCGCCCCAGCTCGCTGGCAGCGCCCGCCTTCCCTGCCTGTCCCCCGAGGCCAGGGCCTTTCGGGGCGGAGGTGGCCACGGCGACTCGCTGGCAGGCCTGCGGGGCACTGGCCTGTGTTGTCCGGTTACACCCTCCCCACGTGCCCATCTGTGGAAGAGGAAACTGAGGCTCAGGCAGGCGAAGTGACTTGCTGGGGCCACCTGGCTGGCAGGCGAGCCTAGCTCGGCCCCAGAGCCGGCCTCCCCCCGCTCCGCCTTGCTGCAGGGCCCCCCACAGGGCCATAAGCAGCGTGGTCTTGGGGCGACGGAACAGGACATGGCCCCCAGGATGTGCAGGGGAGACGGATGGCACCGCTGGAGCTCAGCCCCGCCGGGGAGGCGGCAGTGGCAGTGACGGGCCACCGGGCGCCCCGCCAGCAGCCTCGCCTGCCCACAAAGCACACGCCCACCTCGCCTGGACGCCGGGGGCCACTGGCCTGAGCCCCGGGGGCCACCAAGGCCTCACTGTGGTCTCCAGTAAACACTCGGGAACACGCCACATGTGTGCTCACACATCACAGACCACATGCACACAGCACATGCGTGCATGCACATGGACCCTGCGCACACCCAAGCACACACCATGCACACACGCAGGTGCATGTGCGGGTACACGCAACCACACATGCACCGAAATGCACACGCACACAACACGCACGGATGCACCCGTGCGCGCACACGAGCCTGCGGGCTGCCTGAAGCCGCCACTAAGGTTCCCGCCCCAGCACACGGGAGCTTCAGGCCGGCCGGGCAGGTGCAGCCTTAGCCCGCGGGACGTCGGTCTGATCCCGCAGGGGGGCCCGGGCGGGGGGTGCGGGGCGCTGGCCAAACGGAAAAGGACAAGATGGTAAGAAAAGAACGTTTTATTTCCAGTCTAAGAATTTATTACAAACTGTCAGATTTTAGAAGTGTAAAAGAACAACAAACATCTTCAGCCGACAGGGAAGGTACGAAGCGGAACAGCCACAGGGAGCCGCTCGCCCCAACGGGACGAGGCCACCAGAGTCCAGGACCGAGGGACCCCGGCCACGCCGCTCACGGTGCCTCGGAGGTTGCAGAACGAGCGCACAAAACCGGGCCACGCAGCCGCACTCCATGCAGGCGAGCAGGCAGGCCTCGGAGGGCGCAGGCGGGGGCCCCTCAGAAGGCGGGCGCAGCCCCTCGCGGGGAAGGGCTGGGGTGGGTGAGCCGGGAGGACGGTCTCCGCGTCACGAGAACCACCCCTGCAAGTCCCTGGGCCTCCTGAGCCTCAGTTTCCTCCCCATACGACAGGCCACCGGCGGGTGTGGGTTCGAGGAGGAGGGAGGGACAAAGAGCCCCGCGGGACGCACAGGGAGGTCCGTCTTGGCTCAGGTCCCCGGGGACTTGGCGAACCGAGCGGCTGAGGAGGGGTTTAACGTCTGGCGGGCGGCGCGAGCGGGGCCGGGGCTGAGATGGAAGCGCCGTCGGCCTGCAGGCCGGCGGTGGGCGGGGTGGGGACGAGCCTGTGGGCCGGGGGGCGGCCATGGGGACACAGCGCCCACCCGCGGCCGGCACCTGAGCCCTGGCTGGGGGCTCTGCTGTGGAACCGCTCGCCCCCAGAGCCGCCACTTTCCAGAAGGCACACCCAGCGGCGCCCAAGTCCGTCCCCCTGAATCCTGCGGGTCCACTGGCGGTCGCCCCACCGCCACACTAAGCCGCACTACGCCCGTGACCGAACGCCAAAAGGACGCCCCTCTGCAGGGCCGGCACCCTCTTCTCGCTGCAAGGAGGGGCCGCACCCGCCCTCAGGGAGGGGGGTTTACCTTGAGTCCTCCACAGAGTGGGCACGTGGAAAAGAAAGCCGGAGGGGGCCCCACGTGGGGGCTGCCTGCTTCCCAGGGTGTGCGGGGGGCCTGGCTGCCTGGCGCCTCTGTCTCCTGTCCCCGCCGCCTTGCGCCCAGCCAGCCGGAGGGACAGCCTGTGGGCGTCTGGCCGCCTGGGTCCCCAGCTGCACTGCCATCCGGGCCGCCCTGCGCAGCCGGGGTCTGGTCCCTGGGGGCCTGGCGCAGGCTGCGGGGCGTGTCGTAATGGGGCCGCAGGGCGCTGGGCACTTGGTACTCGGCCGTCCCCGGCGGGCAGGCGCACAGGCTGGGCTCGGGTGCCCCCGCCGCCGGCGGCAGGCTGAGCAGCGAGCCGAGCTCGTCGCTGCCACGCCACACGTCCAGGCTGCTCCCTGCGCAGGACGAGAAGCTGCCCGAGTAGGAGGAGTGGCTGCCCGTGGCGATGCCGCTGTCCGAGGAGCTCTGGCGGCCCACCTCCTGCAGCTGCCGCGGCCGCAGGGGCTTGGGAGGGGGTCGCGAGGCGCCCAGCGCAGCCTCCCCCAGGGCCGGGGCCGCCGCCAGCCCGGGCCCCTCCTGCAACGTGCCGGCCGAGGACGAGGGCTGCTCTGGCCACGCCGCGAGCCGGCTGCCGGCGCTGACGTCCGAGTGGCTGGCTTCTGACGACGAGCTGGACAGGCTGCGGTCGTCCCCTGCGGCGGAGAGGGGGCGCTGAGGCTGCAGCGGGGCTCCTGGGGGCTGACGTCGAGCACGTCCCCAACCCCGCTCCCCCCCAACCCCGTCGAGAGCCGGCACCAAGCAGCACCCTGGGCCTTTGCGTCTGGGCACTGGTGCGGGGATCCACTTAGGCCGCGGCTTGCCAGGTGGGTGAGGAGGCCCCAAGCCCTGTCCCTCCAGGCTGCGCCGGGCTTCCACCCGCCCGAGGCCAGCACCTAGCCCCGGGAACGAACGGAGCAACAGGATGCAGAGGACTGAGTGCACGGACGCCCAGAGGGAGGGATGGGGAGGGCAGCTGGGGGACCCCCGAGCCCAGCCCCCTCTCCCCGACCACCCCCCGCAGCAGGCCCACCTCCGCTGCCTGGCCGGCCGAGGTGGGAGAGGAGGCTGAGCCGCTTCTCCAGCTGAAGCGCTTCCAGGGCCTCCTGGGCTACTCGGTCCTCCCCGGCGGCAGGTCCCCCGGGGCTGGGGTCTGCAGCAGAGAGGAATCACAAGAGACAGCCCCGGCCCCCTCCTGGAAGCCCCCCAGCCACAGCCCACGTGCTGCCCGGGACGTCACGGGGAGCCCAGCACTGTCGGGGCCAGCCTGGCGCAGCCCCGGCCCACGGCAGGGCCATAGGTCCAGGCCCTGGGAGCCTTGTGCACACGCCACGCCCAGGCCGCACTGGGCTGCAAGGCAGGACAGCGCCAGCAGAGGGCGCCGCTGCGCCGGCCGACAGAGCCAGCCAGGAGGCTCCCGCCCCCGCGCCCAGGCTCCTGGGAGGCGTCACCCGGCCACAACCAGGGAAGGGGACACGAGGAGGCACGCCCCATGCGGCCCCTGGCCCACCCCGGCCCCCAGTTCCCGCAACCTCAGCACCCCCCCCCCCGCCACGCCACTCCGGGGACCAGGGCTGCTTGGAAGGTCCGCAGAGGGCACCGCTCAGGTCTGGGGTCTCTGGCTGACCTGCCTGGCAGACCGCTTCTGGGTGGCACAACCGCCCCAACCGGAACTGGTGGCCCGAGTGTCCCAACAGCTCAGACCCGTGGAGGAAGACCTGTGTCCCCAGAAGCCCGGCATGGTAGCCGGCGCGGCCCTGGTTTCTCAGCTGCGTGTGGGGCACAGTGCAAACACTGAGGGACCCCCGCCAGGCCGCGCTCCCTACGCACCTGGGAGAACCGGCCGCAGCCCGAAGGGGCCTTTGGTCGGGGAGATGCCTCGGACGATGCAGTCGAACAGGAAGCTGATCTGCTCGCCCTCCGCCGAGGACAGGAAGAAGACCCCGGCCCCTGCAGGGGACAGGCCGTCAGCCTGGCCCAAGCATGGGAGCTGGGGTCTCTGGGGACGGGGGGGCCGCAGCGGGAGCTGGGGGGTCCTGGCTGTGCGGGGAGCCCCGCGCCCCTCCCACCTCCACGGTCACTGAGGGGCGGGGAGCAGGGCTGGCCAGAGCAGGTCGCATCGGGGAGGGGGGCTGCGAGACCTCACCTGTGTCGGGGACACCTCACCTGCTCTCCATACCCAGGGCTGTCATGGGTGCTAACTGTGGGTGCTGGTAAGATGGCAGCCAGGACACCTGCCCCACAAAGAAGCAGCCCCCCCCGCCCCCCCGCCCCCCCCGCCCCCCCCCCGCCCGCCGGCTGAGGGAGCCAGCCTCCCTGCCCGCCTCACACCGCCCCCTCCCGGGCGTCTTCGGGTTGGAAACGGGAGCCCCCATGTCAGGGCGCAAGCTGCGGCCGTGCCGGGGCGGCCCCCCAGCAGAGGGAAGGGCTGGGCGTCCCGGCACCGGGCCTGCGCTGCGGGGGGCGCCAGAGCAGAGGGCAGGCTGGGTGAGTCAGCAGGCCGTCCCAGCGCCCTGCCCTGGGCCCGCGGCCCTGCCAGGGTGAATGAAATCCCTCACCGCGAGTGAATGGGGCGCCGCGTCACGTGGGGCTGGGCCATCGGCGTGGCCTCACCGCCCAGGAATGCCTGGGGCGCCTGCCCTGAGCCTGTTGCCCAAAGAAAGGCACGCGCTCTCCAGGGGAAGGTCCCTGGGCGCCGCGCGGCAGCCGTGGGACCGGAAGCCTCACGCTAAAGCCTCGGCCGCCGCCAGGGTCTCCTTCACCGTCGCGGGCCCACGGCTGGGCCAGCCCCACACGTGACAGCGCCACCAAACCGCAGCGGCTCCCAGGCCGAGGGGGCGCGCACCCTTCGGTGGTTGGGGCCTCAACCACACAGGCCTCCAAACCAGTGACCCAACTGCGCAGAGACGAGGCTGAGAGAGAGGCGGAGACGGGTCCTGGAGATGGGACACCCGACCACCAGGGGCGCCCGCCAGGCCCGGCGGCGGCCCCCCCCCCCCCCCCGAGCCAGGACGCGCAGGCGGAGAGCCGCCCCCTCCCCCGGGCGGAGGCAGGCCGGAAGGCCCGCATGCCGGCTGCGGTCCCACGCGCGTGCCCGCCCCGCCCCGGCCGCCTTCACACGGAGCCGGGCCTCTAATCCGGCTCCCGGCGGCAGCTGGCAGAGGCGCGGGCACAAGCAGTCCCCCGACTATAAAAAACCACATTACGAGGGGAGCGGAGCCGGCGGCATTCCACTGGGGCGTCTACCCGGCCGCACGCTCCGGAAGTGTGGCGGCGGGCGAGGCCCGGGGGTACGGCCGCCGCCCCCTCGCCAGAGGCAGAGGCTCCCTGGGGAGGGCGCCCAGCTCGGCTCCGAGGGCTGGACGGCTTGAGCCCGCTGGCAGGCCACCCAGGGCATGGCGCCCCGACCTCTCGCCAGCCCTCCGTGGGCTCGCACCCCGCGCTGCCCGCAGGCCCCCTGGAGGGGAGCCTGAGGGGCGGGGCTTTCCCCCGTCCTCCCGGGAGGCGGGGCCAGGGCGAGGGGCGGCCGGGGTGCTTGGCAGCAGGTGCCCTGCACACGAGGCGGATGCTCCGGCACCCCCAACTAGGGCCCCGCAAGCCCTGGGGTGCAGTCGTGGGGGGGCACTGAGGCCTGGGGGCCTTGCAGACAGTGACACCCTGCCCCTGAGATCCGGGGGCAAGTGGGGCTTTATGCCCCAGGAGTGGATTCTTCGAATTTCGGGACGGGCTGAGGCCCCCATGCCATCTGGCACGGCCAGATGGTCCCTCAGGAAGCCACGGCGCCGGGGACAGCATGCCGGCCCCTCCGGCTGCCTGCGGGGAGGAAGCTGACGCCCCACAGGATGGCAGGCTGCCGGGAGCGGGCCGGTCAGAGCCGCCTCTGCTGGAACCTCCCCCTCTCCCTGAGCAGCCAGGCGCCGGGCAGACCTCGGCCCCACGGCACTCAGACGGGCCAGTCCAGGCGGTCCCTGACTCAGTTTCTTCGTCTGTTTCCTCAGTGCGCTGATGCACTGAGCTCGCAGGGCTGGCGTGGGCACGAGGGGCCCATAACGCGGGGCCCTTGCCAGGCAGGTGGCTCGACGCATCCCGTCTCTTCCCGGCAGGTGTCCCTGTGCGACCTCGGCCTCCTGGCCACATCCCTGGACACTCACTCCCGCCCCCAAAGTGGAAACCTCGGAGCACAGGCGTGACGTCGACCACAGCGTGTCGGAAGTGGGACGGGGGGTCTTAGGCCCGGGGGGACTGGAGCTCCTCGTGTGAACCTGGAAGGGTCCCATCCTGTGACCGCAACTCAAGACAGGGCGTCGCCGGGGCCGCCCACAGCACGAGGCTGGGGAGGGGCCCCCGCCCCCCTTCAGGAGCCACCACCTTGTCACAGCTTCCCACCCACGCAGCCGCCGCAAACTCAGCACCCCTCGCCACTGGAACCTTCCGGAACCTTCTTGGCGGCCCCTGCCTCCGTCCCACCAGCCCCCTGGGGCCAAAGCTGATGCCCTAAGCAAAGACCTGTCAGACACTCACTCCCACTCCGGGGCACTCGACGGCCCCTGCTGCTCTGGACACACGGCAGAACCCTGGCCCGTCTGACGGGCTCCCTGTAACCTGCGCAGCCTCCTGCTCCGCTGCCCCACCCGTCAGGGGTCCGGCGCCGCCGTGCGGGTCGCCTGGCTGTGCCAGGCCCATGCCTGGGGTGCCCTCCTCCCTCCCCCAGCCCCTCCCGGCCTCCGAGGGCTGAGGGTCTCGTGCCCCAGCCCTGCGCCCAGACCTGGCACTTCCTTCCCTCCCCGAGTTCCGGGGGCGGGGCTCCAGCCCCTGCCGAGACCACCCAGCTTTCAGACCACAGCGACCAGAAGAGGCGCCGTCAGGGCAGGCGGGCACCGGAAGCACAGGGCGAGCTGGGCTCTCCTGGGGCTCCCCCCCCCAACCCCTTGCTCATGAGAGAACCCGCTGAGCGTGCTCCTGCCCCGCGCACAGGAGGGACGGGCCGCGGAGGCCACGGGGGCGCCCGGGCCCGGGCCCCACGCCGCGTACTTACAGTACCCACACCTGGTCCCGCCTTCAAAGATGAACCCGTTGGGCACGGCCCCGTAGCGCCGGAGGTCGGACAGCTTCCACTGGCCTGTGACGGCTGGGGGGACGTCCCGGGCCACCACGAGCACGTCGTTGCAGAGGTGGAGGGTGGCGGGGCCGCTCTCCAGCGTGGTGCCTGGGGCCACTGTCACGTGGAACCTGTGCACTGGGGGCCGGGCAGGGCGAGAGAGCCTCGCCGTCACCGGGGGCGGGCAGGGAGGGGAGCGCGCGGGGGCGGGGGGGCAGGTCCCAGACCCCGCGGGCTCCCGCGACGGCTGGGGAGAGTGGCCTGCGCGGGGGCCCCTGCTCACAGAGCGCCGCCCCTCAGGAAGTGGCCCGCCCTGGCGGTCGGTGTGGCCCCGCTTCACAGACGGGGAAACGGAGGCTCAGGGAAGCCCAGCCCGGGGCCAGTGAGCAGTGTCTGGGGTCTGCCGCACGGCCCGGCCCGGCCCGGCCACACGGACGCTCAGGAAGCCGCGGGCCTCCCCTCCCCGGTCAGAGGTCTCCCTGGGCTGAGCACAGCCAGCTTGCTCCTTGAGGCCGTGTGCCCATTGCTGCTTGGCCCTCGGCCCCTGCCGCCTCGGAAAGGGGCGCACACCTGGGGTGACCCCCGGAGTGGACAGCAGCCAGCCTGCCTGAACCCCTCCACCTCCAACGCCTCATCCTCCTCAGAGCCCCAAGGACCCTGCCTCGGCCCCTAAGAGAGAGAGGAGTTGACCCTCTGCGCCTGGCGAGCTGGCGAGGACCCCCAGCTGGGGACTCCCCCCTCCCTGCGTCCTCTCACCGAGCCTCCGCAGGCCGCTGCCCTCAGCGCCCCGTCTGGGGGCTCCCGGGGGGTGCAGGGCTGCGGGTCCCAGCGGGCTGCAAGGCCGCGCCGCCTCCTCCCCTCCCTGGCCCCCTGCCTGACCCCCAACCCCGAGACCTCGGCCCCTCCTCGCCCTGACCCGGGGCCCGGGCGGCCAGGCCAGGGAGCAAAGGCAGCACTTGGGAAGGTCACGCTGCTTAGACGGCCATCGCTTTGGGTTGAAGGCCTGGTTCTAATGGACAAGGTCAAGCAGGGTGACTGCAGAGGCCCCGGCGGCCCCCCCCTCCGCTGTCCCCTGCGCCCGCATCCGTGTGCTCCTGGCTGTGGGTCCTGAGCCCAGGCCCCGGGGCCCCAGCGAGGAGGCTGAGCAGACGCGGCTGCTGCGCGCCCTGGAGCCGGGTCACGGCCTCTGTGGCCCACTCTTGGGTGGGTCCCCAGGACCCCGCCCCACCCCGCCCCCGCTCCTGGCGCCACTCACCCTCGCCAAGTGCGTGGCGGATCCGGGCGTCCCAAGCGCACATGGCCTCCCGGCTGTCGAAGCCCAGCATGACAGCCTGCGACAGGCAGACGATGGCCAGCGTGTGGGCCAGGCCCTCGTAGGGCAGCCCGGGCTCCAGGCCGCAGATGTGCTCCAGTGTCTGGCTGCTGCGCTCTGGGAGGCCCCTCGCGCGCTCCGAGCGGTCCTTGTAGGCCAGCATCAGCAGGCAGTCTGGGGGCGGGCCGGACAGCAGGGCGTCAGGGGCTCCGGCCGCCGCCCACGTCCCCGGCACCCCTGCCCCAGAGCGCCCTGGGGTCGAGGGGTGACCCCGAGCAAGTCACCCAGCCACTCTGAGCCTCTGTTTCCTCAAGGGCAGAACCCTCCCCGCGCCCGCCCCCCCTGCACGGCCCAGGAGGACAGAGGGCCCCGAACACATCCTGGCTAGTCCTGGCCCCCGGCCCGCACGCCCCCAGCCCACTCCTGGCGCCCGGGCCCATCCTGCCTCTGAGCACGTCCCCCACCCAGGCCGAGGCTCTGGTGCAGGTGCAGCGTCCGGGGGCCTGAGGTGACACGGAACACGCTGAGGTGTGGGCGCCAGCATCACGCGGGAAGGCTCGGGGTGCGGGTCCCCGCAGGACCCGGGGAGAATGGAGCAGGGACGCGGGGGGGCCCCGGGTCTCACAGCTGCTCCAAGCCCCGTCCCCTCCTCATCCCCGCGGGCAATAAATGGACCCAATTTTTAAAACCCGTTCTTGGGGGAAGGGGGCTGTTTAGTGCCAATCTGCACCAGGGCCCAGCAGCGGAGAAACGGTTCTCGGTGAGGGGCCCGAGGCCAGAAGGGTCAGCAGACACGTGGGCCCAGGGCGCTGGAGCCAGGCTGGCTGGCCGCTCCTCCGGGACCCGGGCTGGGAGCACAGGGCGGCGACCCCCACAGGAGGCCCCGCGGAACTGGCCGCCGGGCAGGGCCTCCCGGGCAGGGCCGAGGCCACGCCGCTGGCCCCTGGGGCTCGCCTCCTAGCCCGGTGGGCCCTGGGCCCCGAGAGGGAGCGGCTGCCACTCAGAGCAGCAGCCAAGGCTGCAACCGGGCCCGGACACAGGGAACAGCCAGGGCGAAGGCCCAGAGGCAAAGGCCCGGGGGCTGGGCAAGGCTGGCACGAGGGCGAGGGGTTCCGGTCGGGTGGGCCTGGGAGCCGGCCAAGAGCCTCATCCCGCTGCCCCTGGGAGCCCAGGGGGCTCTGAGCAAAGGGGTCCGGCCGGGCTGCGTGTGGAGAAGGGACAGGGACACAAGGACCAGCAGAGGCCCAGGCCGGCGCAGCCTCCGCGGGCACGGGGAGGGCGCCCGGCTCACGGGACCTCCGGGGGCGGGATGCGATGCTGGATGAGGGGAAGGACGGGGGAGTGGGGGCCAGAGCCGGGCAGGGGAGGGGCCGGGGCCGGGGCGCCGCCTGGACGCGGGAGCCTGAGAGGCCTAGGACACCAGGGGCCGGATGTAAAAATAACCGTGGAGTCATGAGCCCTCGAAGGCGCCTACAGCCGGGCCGCATGGGGGGAGGCGTGCCGAGGGTGGGACGCGGTGGGGCGTGGAGACGCCCATCCGCGTGGGGACGGCGGAGCCCGGGGAAGAGGCCAGGGAGCAGCAGCTGGATTCAGCCCTAAGGGGTCACAGCGACCTTGAGGCAGTGTCTTCAGAGGAGCGGCGGGCGAGGGCCCGGGGGGGACAGTGCCGCGGCTCAGGCAGCCGGTGGGGGGTCGGGCGGGGGAGCAGCCCCAGGGAGCTGGGGCCCGGGACCACAGGCCAGGCCGGTCAGGGGGCCTCAGGCCGCTGGAGCTGAGAGCTCCAGTCCCCAGGCCCCTCGGGCAAGGCCCCATGGGGACCGGAGGGCTGGCTGCCACCCACAGCCTGTCCACAGGCTGCCCACCCCACCCGGGACTCAGACGTCACGCCCATTCCCAGGGACGCAGATAACCCAAAGCCAGGAGGTGCAGCCTGGGAGGGGACCCTGGTCATCACCAGCCCGGGACCCCTGTCCTTCGGGGATACGCCCACCTCAGCGGAGCGGACAGCCCCTGGGGGGCAGGCACCCGGGCTCCCCGTCTGGGCGGCCTGTGCAGCCCGGGCTGGTGCCGAGCGCGGGTGGGCTCCCAGCACGTTGCCCGGTGAGTCCCAACCCGGCCGGGCCGCCTGTGAGGGACAGAGACTGCCCGGGGTCACCAGGCAGGGGCCCAGACCAGAGCCGGGAGGCAAACACAAATTCTTTGGCCAGGACAGAGGTCGAGACCCCTGGGGACACAAACCCGCTGAAGCATCACCCCTTTTGGTAAAGACATAGCACCTGTTTTACTACGGGCACTTTCCTTTCTTTCACTGACTCGACTCTAGGTAGCGCTCCCTCCTGGTGGGAGAGAGGCCACGAAGTGACAAGGTGCCCTTGGCACCCACCGCACCCCTGGTGCCTCTTACTGTCCCTGTGGGTCCTCCCAGGACAGGCAACCCCTTGTAAAATAAGAGTCCTAATCTTCCCACGACAGGAAGGCAGGGCTCGCAGCCCTGTCTCCTTCCCCCACTGCCCGGGGTTCTCAGCTGCGAGGTGCTCCAGGACGCAGACCCGCCGCCCCCACATCCGCGTCCCCCCGGGGGGCTGGTCTCTGGGGCAGGGGCGGGGAGGGGACGCCGGATGGGAGCACAGCCCCCAGCCCTGGGCCCGGGGGGCGCAGCCTTAAATCCCTGTCTCCAGTGAGGCACCTGTAAGTGGCCCGCAGCCCCCAGGGCTCACTGGGGACAGAGGCGCCCTCCACTCCCCCAGCCCCCCCCCCCGCCCCCGGCCTGGTGGCTCTGCGCACGCCAGGCCCCGCCTCCCGCCTCCTCGTGTCCCCCTCGGGTCCAGCCCTGTGCCCAGGGAAGAGGCCCTGCCTCTGAGGCTGGCGCACCGGCCCCTGCCACAGCTGTCTCTGCTGCCTCCCGGCACGCGGGAAGCCCGGGGCTGCGCGGGGTCCGCGGTGCCGGGACCCCGGTCCCCTCCCCAGCGCCTCCCCCCGGGCAGCCACACCTCGCAGACAGCTCTCTGATCCTGAGGTAGAACGTCCCACGGGGTGGCAAATCACCCCCCCCGCCCCCGCCGCCCCAGGGACAAAGGCCAGCCCCAGGGCCGCTCTTGCAGAGCACCCCTGTCCCGGGGGTCGGCACAGGCCCTGCTCGGCAGGGGCCCACCGCGCACACCCAGCCTGCAGCCGGCCCGGCCCCGGCTCCCGGGGCCTTCGCGCCCGCCCGCCCGCCCTGCCCTCGGCCGGCCGCTGCCTCTCCATCCCCCACCTGCCAGGGCCCCCCCCACCCCGCCCCCTGACTGGGCCTCCCCAGGCTTCCCCAGCACCAGGCACCAGGCTCAGGCCGGGCCTGAGAGACGGAGGGGGAGGCTGAGGCCGGGCAAGAAGGGCCCGTGTCCGCGGCCCAGAGCAGGCCCTCGCGTGGCCACCACAAGGGGCCCTGGGCCGGCTCAGCAGAAGGAGCCGAGGAGGGGGCCCAGGAAGTGAACAGGGAGGGCACCTCCACCCCCTCTGGGAAATGACAGCCGCCCAGGCGGCCCGGAAGTCTCTCTGGCAGGCCCACATGCGTGAGGCAGTGTGCGCCCACACCCCCACATCCCACACAGACCCCTGGGGCCTGGGCCGGCTCCAGGGCACCTGTCTCCTGAAGCAGCTGCAGCCACCCGGCGCCCAGCCTCCCACTGCGCCCAGTCGCCGGGGAGGAGAGAGATGCCCGGCTTCGGGCTCCCTCCTGGCCGGCCGGCACCCTTCTGGGCGGGGTGCTGCGTCCTCTCTGCCGGCCCCACGCGAGCCAGGCTGCTTTTCTCAGGCACCACGGAAGCAGCCCTGGTCCTGCCCGCAGCCCCGGCTCTGTTCCGCCCGGGGACGGTGGCAGGGCGGCCGCGCACAGCCAGCAATGCCCCGCGCGTTTGCGCGAGTCCCGGGCGCTGCTCAGCACCCCACGAGCAGGGGCGTGACTTTGTGGGTCCCTGCTCGGGACCGGGGAGGGGCTGCCCGGGCTCCTGAGCTCACGCCCCTCCGGCCGCAGCCGGCCCTTCCGCCACGGGAGTTCTCGCCGGGGCCCGGGGCCTGCGACGACAGTCCCCGGCGCTGCGCCGGCCTGAGCGAGGGTCCCAGCGTCCCAGCAGCGGGAGGCCGAAGCCCGAGTGCTCTCCGGTTACAGCCCCGGCGCCGCCGGCTATTTCGGGCGCGCTGGCCACGCTCCGGCCGGCGCGCGAACGAGGCCACCGGTGCCCGCTCCCCTACGCCCCGCGCCCCGCGCCCCGACCCAGCCCGGCCCGGCCGGCGCCCGCTCACCTGCCACCGGCGACGGCTTGCGCAGCACCAGCCACCTACTCTTCCACTGCGGGGACAGAGGGGTGTGAGCGGCCGCCCGCGCCCCAGGCCCGCCCCGCGCCCGCCGCGCGCCCCCACCTTCTTGCCGTCCCGCAGCTTGACCTGGCCCTCCACCAGCGCCGCCTCGGTCATCTTCTGTCATGGTTCCCGCGCGCCCGCCGCGCCTCGCCCCGACACCCGCGGCCGCCGCAGCCCAGGGTCACTTTCAAAATAGCTTCGGGAGGGCCCTGGGCTGGGCCAGCGAGGGCGGGCCGCGGGCGGGGCGTCCCGCGCGGGGAGTGCGCTCCCTGCCGCGCCCCTGTCACTGCCGCGCACGGCGGCGTCCGGGCGGCCCATCCATCCATCGGGGCCCCGCAGCCAAGCTGCGGCCGGGCCCAGGGCCGCTCAGCCGGGCCCGGGCTGTGGCTTCTCTTCCGCCAACGAAGCCCAACAGGGAGGGGACGCTCCGGCGTCCACGTCTCCGGTGCGAACAGTTGTCTTCATCCGACCTGGCCTCACCCTCTGGCGCCTGCCCCTCCCACCGCCCAGGGCCGTCACCAGACGCCCCGGCCACAGACCGGCTTTGGGACGACTCTGCCCCTGGCCCTTCAGGCCCCCCGCCCCCGCCAGCCGCCCCACTGCCCAGGCAGGGTGCTGGGCGGTCCGTTGCTGTCCCCCGCAACACAGACCCCAGTGTGGGCTGCGGCCCAGTGGTGGGACCAGGACCTGCTCGCGGCCCACCCAGTGCCCCTGGCTCCGTGATTGCTCTCTTCCAGCCCAGCTGGGCGCTGTCCCCTGAAGCTGGGCCCCACCCGCTGGGCCCTGGCCGGAGGCGCTGTGCGCTCTGTGGAGGCCCGTGGACACAGGGCTGCACCTGGAGCGCCAGCTGGCCCTCGTCTCCAAGGCTCCAGGAGCGTCCGAGTAGGTGGACGGCGTGGGGCCGGGCAGCACTCCAGAAAAGCCGTGAGAGACAACGTGCCTTCCTCAAGCCCCCTCCTCTGGGGCCTACGATCTGGAGGGGATGAGGGGGGAGAGGCAAAGCGTCCCGTTAGCCCAAGGCCCCCGGGCAGGGAGGCTGCCACCCCCGGCACGTGTGTGTCTTTACACCGCCCGGGTCCTCAGGTCTCACCGCCGGGACGGACCAGCGCGGGAGCCGTGAGTCGGCGCCCCAGCTCAGCAGCCGCGGCACCGGGTGAAGAGCCGGTCCACTTGCCCTGCGTGCCCCTCCCATCCCTGGGTGTCCGGGGCGGCAGGTCCCGGGAAGGGGGGCTGCAAGCTTGATTTTGATGCCCTGGATGCCCTGCGGGTGCCTAATGCAGAGCAGGGCCACGCCCAGCCGGGGCGCGGCTCTGTCCCCTGAACACACCCTCCCGCCCCGTGTCACCTGTGCAGCCACCAGCCGCCTTCCCCAGAGCAGCTGCCCAGCCACAGAGCGAGCGCCGTCCGCGCTCCCGACGCCTCCGGGCCCCGGGGGCTGGCCCCGGGCAGCCGGCACGGGGCTGGGGGCAGCCAGGGGCTCCGGCCTCCAGCACGACGGCCACATCCACCGCCCGGGCCCCTGGCACTTGGTCGCCCCTGCTGGGAGGCACAGTGCCTGCTGCGTTCCTGAGGGCTGGCCCTGACCCAGGCTCCTGCCACGCCCAGCAGCTGCCCCTTCTCCAGTGCTGGCCCCGGAAACTCGGGCTGCAGTGGGGACAGACAGCGCCCCTCCCCGTCCACGGCCAGCAGGGCTGTGACGGGCGGGGAGGGCCTCCTGCCTGGCTCCCACTCTTTCCTGTTCTGGACCCACTGTTGGCTCCCACCCCCGCCCTCCACGCCTGTGCTGCAGCCCAGCCCTCCTGGGACGGGGTCAGGAGGCGGGGCCTTGGGGAGGTGGTCAAGCCATGAGGGCGGAGCCCCCATGACGGGACCAGTGACCTTTTGAATAGAGACAGGAGACGACACAGCAAGAAGGCGGCACCTGCACACCTGGAAAGGAGCCCTCCCCAGACCCTGGTCTCCGACTTCTGGCCTCTGGGTCTGTGAGAGACAAATGTCTGTTGTTTTGGCTGCCCAGTCCTTGGCCCTTGTCACAGCAGCCAGAGCTAAGACAGCTTCCCCAGCTGTCACCGCCCGAGGGGCTGGTTGCAAGTGGTAGAAACACACTCTGGCCACTGATGCAGGAAGGAATCTGCTGGGAGGCGGTCAGCCCTGCGCCCCCACGGGGCGGGGCTCCACAGCCGGGGCATGGCTGCTGCCTCCCAAGAAGCGGTGGGTTGCAGCTGTTCCTCTGACCAGCCACATGGGCAGGCGACGGAGTCACCGCTGCCGGACTCAAGGCCACAGGGCGCTGCCGCCCTGCAGCTGCAGGGCCTGGCACCCGACGCGGCACCTGCCACTCACCCCCCACGCGCACTGGAGGCCCGGTTTCCTCTTCCAGCCTGAGAGCGTCCCCGTGCGCCCTGGACGAGGGGCTACCCGAACGCGCGCGGGCTTCACAGGGGGTTCACTGGGGCCAGAGGCCGGCCACCCGGCCTGGGATTTCCAGGTACGCGGTGTGGCTGGAGAAAGACACATGTCACCTGGCCGTGGCAGGGACCACGCCCTGCATCCACCCGTGGCCAGAGAGGTGTGGGCGGAAGCGACGGCCTGGCCGCATGATGCCCGGTGTCTGTGGACCGAATCGCGTGCCCCTCCCAGACTCAGAGGTTGGAACAGTGCCCCCCGTGTGACTGTGGATGGAGGAGCGGTCTTTAAGGAGGTGATTAAGGTTAAATGGGGTCAAAGGGCAGAGCCCTAAGCCCACGGGACTGTGGCCTCATCAGCAGAGGGAGCAGCAGCAGGGAAAGGCCACGAGGGACACAGCAGGAAGGCTCCCCCTGTGAGCCTCCCACTGGAAACCACCCCGAGGGCCCTGAGGGCTTGGGCTTCAGCCTTGGGAGTGGTGAGGAATCAACGCTGGCCGTTTAAGCTCCAGCCTGTGCTAGTCAGTGACGGCGGCCTGAGCTGCCCAGGACGGAGTGCAGGGGGCCCTCGGGAAAATGGCTGCAGACATCCCCTCCCTGTGCCCACGCCCCTTGGCATGTGACAGGACAGCTCCACCGTTAAAGGTGGAGTCTCTCGCTGCCTTGGAATTTGGCTTTGCAAATGCTCACATGCACCGTTAGAGCCCAGCCCCCAGCAGCGCCCGGGAGTAAGTCCAGGCTGGCTCACCAGATGACAAAAGAGGTGTGGCCTGGTCACCCGGTGGCTCCAGCCACCAGCCAGCCAGCCAGCCCCCAGGAGCGGAGCAGCCTCGGGCCCACTGACAAGCCCGCCAGGTGAAGGAGCTGGCTCAGCCTACGTCCAAGCCGCCAGCCCACAGAACTGCGAGCTAAATGCATGTCTGCGGCTTAACGTCACCGAGTTCTGAGGTCATCTGCGATACAGAGAGTGTTCTGATGAGGAGTATCTGTGTCAGACTACAAGCCTCATGGGATGTTGCAAGCTCTGGGCAGAAGGCACCTGGGTCCCCGCGTCCCCACGGAGAAAGGCACAAGCAAACACCCATGCTGAGCAAGAAGGCCAACACACAGACCACAGGCTGAGAGGAAGGGGAGGAAGCCACACCTGCGCCCGGCACGGGGACACACAGCACATTGAAGACAAAGACGTCATAAAAGTCAGGGAGGAAAAGTTGTTTACAAAAGAACGATTAGATTTGCAGCTGATTTCTCATCCTTGGCAATGGGAGCCTGAAGGCAGTGGAATCCCCTCCTCGTGTTAGCAGAAAATAATGACACACTGAGATTAAGTGACCAGAGAACACCGTGAACAACGTTAGGGAAGTAAGTATAGCCGTTTAGACAGATACATTCCTAAAAGTATAACTTCCTATAATGGGCTCAAGAAGAAATAGAATTCTCAGCCAGGCCCACAGCTGTTAAGATATCGATTGGGAGTTAAGTATCAGCTTGTAAAGAAGACACAGGCCCAGGCAATTTTATAGGGACTCGTGCCAGGCTTTCAAAGAACAGGTCATCCCGGCTTTCTACAGGGTCCTGCGTGCAGAGAGGAGATGCTCCTGAACCCACGCCTGGGGTGCGGGCCGGGGAGGGCCGTGATGACAGCCATTCGAAGATTATAAGGAAGGAAAACGATAGGCAATCTCACTTGGAAACGCAAATGTAAAATCGTAAACAAAATATAAGTAGGTCTGAAAAAGCTTATAAAAATAATAAAGCCGGTGTCAACAGCCAGGATCGCCACGGTTGGCACGATATTCGGACACACCGAGGCAGGTTATTCACAGAGGGGATGCTGCGGAGCAACCCCTGGGGACGTGGCACCCCTGGGCTCCGAGAGACGGCGCAAGCGGGCCCCTCCTCCAGGCCGGAGGGTGAGGGGGCGGGTCGCCCAGGGCCCGGGCGGGGCCGGTTCTGTATCTTGGGAGGAGCGCCGCCCGCAGTGGAGGCATCTGGCGCACTGGCTGCCGGGCCGTTGACACGCGCCTTGCCTACCGGAGACGTAAACCACAGACGCTGAGCGTCTCCCGCGCTGTGGGGGAGGGGCTGCTCCGGGCCAGCCTCGGTCTGCTGGTGGTCGTCTTCCCCGGCGACGCTTCACGCTGATGTGTGTGTCTGTGTCCAAATTTCCCCTTCTAATCGGGACACGGTCGTACTGAATCAGGGCCCACCCCGGCGACCGCGTGTTGACCGGATGCCCCCATCAAGGCTCTCTCCCCAAATAAGGTCACAATCTCCCCTCCTCATGGTCAGGACTCCAATCTACAGGTGTTAAGAGGACACACAACCCACGGCACTGAGGTGACCCCAAAAGGAGGGAACGAGGGAAACAGACACCCCAGCTCGTGCTCCTCCTTCTCTAACCTGCTGGGCTTCCAAGGGCCACATGAGGACCCAGCGGGCACAGGAGCTCACGGATGCAGCCGTGAGGTCCACATCCAGTGGGGGGGGGCAAATGGAAGCTCCCCCGCTCACACTGTGACTCAGCTCGGCTCGCTCAGGAATGCAAGGGCGGCTTGACCCCCGACGCCCTGCAGATGCGAGTCATTTCGTGAAGAGACCCGTGCTCAGCACTCGGGGGAGCAGGCACAGAGGAAGCGCACGTCAGGGAAGGGGCGTGCGGGCCCCGGCCGGGCCCGGGGGCAGTGGACAGGCAGGGTGGGCTCTGTTCTTTGGAGCATCTTTATTGCCGGCAGGCAGGGAGTGGCAGGGAGGCAGCACGCCCCCCACCGGGGGCGCTCAGGAGAGACCCGCAGGCCGCTTAGGGGGCCGGATCCGGTCGTTGATCCAGTCCACGTAGTTGGCCACACGGGTGTAGACGCCGGGCTTGTTGAGCCTCCCGCAGCCGTCACCCCAGCTGATGATGCCGTACAGGTAGGCCACGCCGTTCTTCTCGCAGGCCAGGGGCCCACCCGAGTCCCCCTGCGGCAGAGCTGCCTGTCAGAGCCGGGGCTCGGCTCCTCGGCACCCTGGGAGCAGTCCCCCGCCCCCTCCAGCCCCGGCCTCCCTCGCCCCAACCCGAGAATGTCCCCAGAGGCATCCCCGAGCTTTCCCTGTGGGGCGGGGCTCCCCAGGGCCTCTGGGAGGGCTTCCCGGCCACGTGGGGACGGATGGTGAAGATATTTATTTCCAAGCAAGCGTGCGGCCCAGCCTTCCCCAAACCTCACAGGCAGGAAGTCCTCTCGTTGCCGGCTGCTGGGACAGGACCTGTCGCTCTGGTCACCAAAGCCCTGCCCAGGTCCCCTCCACAGCCAGCAACGCGTTCCTGTCTCTGGCCGCTCCGCCACCCACCAGCCAGGCCCCACGTGCACCAGACGGCCCCTTCCGTCTGGCATATGCCGCACCCGCCCCATGCCCACGCCCACGCCCACTGCAGACACCCTCCTCGCCTCCTGGCAGACCCTGATTCACCCCTCAGGACAAGTGCCAAAGCCCCTCTTCCGTGAACTTGCCCTGGACTTCCCCCAAGAGCCCAGTGTCAAGCCCCACAGCCCAGGCTACTCGCCACGCCAGAGCTGTCAACCTGGGGACAGTGGCCCTCCGTGTCCCCATCTGTGACCTGGGGAGCAGCAGCTCTGCTGCCTCAGGGTCCCTAAGTGAGGTGTTGCCAGTGGCGCTCCGGATCAGCGTGAGCTGCCGGGACCAGCTGATGGACGGAGCCCACGGGGACAACCGTGGATGACAAGGGTTTGGCCTTTGGAGACACAGGGGCAGCCCGCCCTTGGAAGGACAGCTGGGACATGCCAGGCTTTGTGGCCAGCCCCTCCCGGGGCCTCAGCACCCCATCCATGGGAGGAGGGCGTCTCTCTGCCCCACCGTGGGGTCTTGCAGCAGCGGTGGGGGACAGGGATGGGGCGCGCTCTGCCTCGGCTCTCTGGTGGCCCTGCAGGTCGGGGGCCCTTCCCCGGGCGGTCGCGCCTGAGTCTGGGCTCACCTGGCAGGCATCGGACTTGCAGTCAAAGTAGCCAGCACACAGCATGTTGGGGCTGATGTCCGCCCCATACACCTCAGGGCTGCTGCACTTGTGGTCGGCCACCAGGGGCACCAGCGCCTCCCGCAGGTAGGTGGAGTAGCCGCTCACGTCTGCGGACAGCGGACAGCGACACCTTCCTGTCAGGGCGGGCAGGGGACCCCGCGCCCCTGGGCACCGCCTGGCCCGCTGCCCCGGCGACGCTCACTCTCGTCCTGGTGGCCCCAGCCCGCGATCTGGCACTTGTGTCCAGCGGGGAAGGGGCTGCTGGGCTCAGGCAGGCAGATGGGTTGGACGAACTGCGAGCGGACGGCACAGCGGTCCCCCTTCTTCTTCAGCCGAATCAGGACTGGGCGGGAGAGGCCAGAGGTCAGCTGGGGCGGGCGGTCCGGGACGGATAGAGCGTGGCCACCGAGTTACCCTGGGGTGCAGCCCACGGGGCAAGGGGTACGACCTGGGAGAGCCACGAGAGAGCGGGAAGGCCCGCCTGGGCCCCCGGGGCTTCTCCCGCTGCCCTGTCCTGGACCCCGCCCTCCTGCTCCTCTCTGTCCCTGCCACCCACCGCCTCACACTCCTGCATCGGAAGACTCTCCCGGGATCCTCTGGGGGCCCACCCCTGCCCCTCTCCTGGCCTCGGCCCGGGGAGCACGGAGCGCATGTCGCTGGCTCTGCCGCGCCCCAGCACGGTCTGAGCCAGGCCTCACCGAGGTCATGGTCACTGGGGTTGAACACCGAGTACATGGGGTACGGGATGTACTTCTCGATGTAAAACGTCTGTGTCACGTCCGTTGTGAGGTTGAAGAAGTGCTGGCCCAGGACCACTGTGACACTTTCCCTGGGGGGACTGTGCAGGGGTGGGGGCCAGAGGCAGCCTGACTCTGGACTTCCCCTCGGACGCCTGAGGCTGGCTGTCCCCCGACCCGGGGGGCCGAGCATCTCCCAGACACCCCGGGAGGGTAGCCCCGTGCCGGGCTATGGCGAGACACAGGTCCAGGCCCCTCGGTCCCCAGCAGACCTCCGTTTTCCCATCCGTTGTATATGGGGATCCCTCCCACTGGGGTTCCCACCTGGGCAAGGCCAGAGCCAGGGGCTCCTGGGCTTCCCTCCGGCTGTCTCTCAGGGTGGGCAGCTGGCTGGAAACACCCAGGCCCTGAGGGCCAAGGCGGGGGTCCCCCAGGTCTGCCTGTGTTGTCACCAGGGAGCAGGCCCCTCCTGTGAGGCCGCCCGCAGGGCCAGGAGTCTGGGACCCTGTCCTTTCTGCCCACATCTGCCTGTTTCCGCGCCAGCCCTGATCGGCCCAGACCTGTGGCCCCGCCAGGCTGGGCCCCTCCCATCGCCTCCGTGGGAATGGGAGCGGATGCCTGCTCCCCGTCCCGCGCTTCTCAACCTCCCAGTTCCATGCTGGGAACGCCATAGCGGTCCCATTTCACCGGCCCAGCGGGGAGGCGAGTGAGGGAACACCGTAGTCAGCACACGACCCACGCCCACTGTGCCCCGCAAGCTGCGGTTCCTGGTTGACGGCGGGGGGGCTCGCTGCCATCCCCCACCCCGCCTTCCCCAGTCCCTGATCCCAGAGCCGCCACCTTCAGGCCCGTCCCCTCGCGCCGGAACCCCCAGATGCCAGCTCCCCGAGTCAGGCCTAGACCCGAGCCCAGCGGTGAGAAGGGACTCCGAATCCCTGCGCCCTCAGTGCCCCTCCAGCGCCTGCCCGGGAGGGGGCGGAGCCCGGTGGGGTGGCCCCGCCCATCGGTGCTTCTGCGCAGGCGCAGGCCAGCCCCGCTCTGCAGCGAGCGCCTGACAGAGGAGAGCCTGGGGCGGGGACGGGTGGGGCTGTTCGGCGGGCGGGCGGCCGAATGGGTCGCTGCGGGCTCCGAGCCCAGCGCCTGGCTCATCTCGCCCAGTCCCCCCTCTGACTGAGCGTGGAACAGAGGGACCAAAGGAGGAAGGTTATCCCGGTAGGTGAGGCCACGTGGGGATGGGGGTGCTGTCAGGGGGACGCGTGTGGGCAGGCGGGTGGGGCGAAGGCAGTGGATAGAGGTGGGCGGATGGAGGGGGCGCGCGGCTGGGTGGCAGGTGCAGGCATGGGCGCGGGGGGGGGGCGGTGGACGCAGGGGCGGTTCGCAGGAGGTCGGGGGTCGGGGGTTGGGGGCCGGGGACGCCGGGCCGAGCACTCACCTGTGGGAGAAGCAGTGGGCGGCGGACACCACCCAGCAGGTGTGGACCAGGGTCCCCGCACAGAAGCTGTCGCCGATGTAGATGGCGGCCAGCCAGGGGTGGGAGCCGGGCAGCGAGGACGAGCCCCCGATGATGCGCGGCCGCAGGAAGCTCCTCTTCTTGTGCCGCCGGCCACAAGCCTGGCGTCCGGCGGGGGCGGCCCCGGGCACGGTCCGCAGGTTCAGGGTGGGCGAGTGCGGGGCTCTGGTGAGGGACTCTGGGGGCACAAGTCACCGGTCACACGCACCCCCGGCTGCACCCGTCTTATGCCGTCCTCTGGCCCCACCCGGGCAGCAGCTCTGGAGCGTGTCCCGGCTCTGGCCCCGCTCTGCTCTCCTGCCCTCAGCACTGAGTCTGAGCCTCTTCCGTAGGAGAAGCCGGGTGTCCGTGTCCCTCCCAGCAGCCTAGGGGCCCAGAGCCAAGCCCAGGACGGTCAGGGGCGCAGGGCCCGGAGTGGGAGCCGGCCCCATGGAGCCGCCACCACCAGCGTCTGACGCCAGGGATGCCTGCTGGACCCGCCACGGTGCCATCCTCCCCACGGGCACACCATCCTCCCTGGGGGCCTTCCCTGCGTGGTTCAGCTGGGCAAGAGCCACCCAGAGGACCTGGTGACCGGCCTGCCTGCTCTGACCCCTGTACCAACCCACCGCGTGGCCTTGGACCAGCCCTGCCCCTGCAGCCTCGGTCTCCCCATCTCTCGGACGAGCCGGGGCCCTCCAGGGAGAAGAGGCCAGGTGTGGGCGTGGGGCCAGCCCGCCCACCCGCTCCGCCCAGCCAAGCCCCGCACCGCAGGCCTCCACGCCGCAGTACTCCCAGGAGAGCGCGTGGTCTCTCACCACGTAGCACCAGGGCCGCTCATCCTTGTCGGGGTTCCTGCAGTGCGGGGAGAGGCGGGTGGGTGGGGTCTGCGCCCTCAGAGAGGGAAGCAGGCAGAGGGAGCGGGGACACCCAGCAGGGGCCTGTACCCCGCCCCCAGCAGCCTCCTGCTCTCTCAGCCGACGGACACAGTGGCCTTGGGCCTGTGGGCCTGCGCCCCGCTAGGCCCTTCTCGCTGTGACAGCCGCCCCGCCCCGGGCAGAGGGCTCAGGGGCCCCCGGGGCAGGCTGGGCCAGGGAGGCCTCCCCCCAGGACAGACCCTGGCCGCCCTGGTGAGGCGACCTGGGCGGGCTGGGCCGGTGCTGACCGGCAGTAGGCGTGCGGGCCCAGGCCGAGCAGGGCCGCGGCGGCCACCGAGTCCACATGCAGCTCCTGATAGAGCAGGTCGGAGTTCCAGGCCAGGCAGCTGAGGCCGGAGGCGGCCGTGCAGGCGATGCCCCTGTACTCGGTGCCGTTCCCCGTGAAGCAGCGCTGGGCAGGCACTGCGGGCGGCGGCGGGCCGTGAGCCTGGGCCCAAGGCCGCGTCCCCCCAGCGCAGGGCAGGGGGCCAGCCACGCAGCCCAGAGGCCGGGCGACTCACCGATGTTGCAGAGCCTCCCGGCGTGGCCCGGGGGACAGGCACAAATGGTGGTCCCGGTGGCCACAACCAGGTGGCAGGTGCCCCCGTTCAGGCACGGGCTGCTCGGGCAGGCTGCGGGGAGGGCTCAGAAGCTGGGCCTCAGGCCTCGAGGGGCCGGCACGTGGGCGGGGTCGGGGGCCCCTGACTGGGCGGCCCTTGGGGAGTCCCTTCCCCTGGGGTGGGAACGGGGGACGGGGACACCCATTGCGAAAGGTCTTGCTGCCCCTCCCCCACCGTGTACCTGTGTGGCGTGTGTCCTCGCACTGGACACGGCCCCCCGCACACTCGCACTGCTCCACGCGGCCCTGGTGCACCCGGGCCCAGCGGTCGCCGGCCTCCAGGTACTCGTAGCGGGTCTCGTCGAAGCACTTCTCTGGGGGCCACACCGTGAGCCCCCGGCTCTCTGCGCCCCACCGCCGCCCGCAGGGCCTCCCGGGACCTGCGCCCCCCTGCCCGCCCGCTCACCCGTGCCGCAGTCCTTGCCAGTGAAGGCCCCGGGGCAGGTGCAGTGGTAGGACCCGGCGTCCTGGGTGTTGGTGCAGGAGCCCCCGTTGAGGCAGGGGCTGGAGGCACAGGGGTCCGGAGCGGCTGGGGACATGCAGGAGGGCGGGGAGCGGGACGCTCTGAGAGCCCGGCCCGTCTGCCCCGACTCTCTGTCCCTTGCTGCTTGCCTCTCAGGGCTGCTGCCTTAAAGATGCCCCTTCTGGGGTCCTGGGGGTGCGGGTGCCCCAGGAGAAGGTGCAGGCCCCCTCCCCACCGCTCCTCTCGGCCCTCAGACCCTGGGCAGGGGGGCCCTGGCTCTGCACGCAGCCCCCTGGGAGCCCGGCCGCCCCCTTCTCAGGCAGCACGGCCCCCGCCCTTGTGTGCTGGGACCCTTGTAGGTGGAACTGCACCCTGCAGATCCCGCCCCAAACCCAGGCAGCGGGTCTCGTGTGGCTGCAAGGCCTGGCCTGGCCGCCAGGGGGTGTCTTGGTCCCAGCAATGGCCAAAGCAACCCTGGGGCCCCCAGAGAGGGCAGGGTCCTGCCTGGGAGGGACCCTGCTCTGCACTCCTGGGTCCCTGGGCTGATGGCTCCTGTGCCCCGCTGGCCCCCAGCCCCCAGGCCTACAGTGGGATCAAGCCCGTGCCCCTCCTGGCCCTCAGGCAGGACCCCTGCCCCATCAGCTCTGTCCGCTCAGCGCCCATCCCCATCAGCACGCTGACGATGCCCCCACGCTCACCCCCTGCCCAGGCCCTGCCTCTGCCTGGCCTGGGCTCAGGCCTCCCAAGCCCCCAGGCACCCACCTGGGCCTCCCCGGGGCTCGGGGGCCTGCGCGCAGTAGCCCCAGGCCCGGTCACGGTCGTAGTTGTGAGTCGTGGCACACCTGGGGGTGACGGCGCCGTGAGGCGGGGCCCAGGCCAGCTCCCTCCGCTCGCACGCGGCCGCCATCCCGTCCCGCGTTCCTGCGTCATTCCGCCTGCGCCTGCGGGGCGCAACGCCCTCTGGAACAGGAGGGTGGAGGGGCTGCGGGGACCCCGAGGGAGGCCTCACCCGGTGGGACCCACCACTTCCTGTGGGCGCTTCCCTCCGAAGTGCAGGAATGAAGCAGGCGGCCGCCATGGCGGAAAGGGAACCGGCAGAGCTGCCCGTCCTCAGTGAGCACTGCTGGGGAGGCAGCCGGCGTCACGGGGCTCCCGCGCCCCCATGGCTCCTCCCACCACCACCCCACCTGCCCAGGTGCAGCCCGCCGCTTCCTCCAGGAAGCGCCCCTGACCGACCTGGGCCCCCAGGGCTGCTGCTGGAGGGAGCCGCGCTGGGTGGGGAGGTGAGCCCCTCCCCACGAGGTTCCTCGGCCTTTGGGGTGCCCACTGGTGAGGTTGTGGGGGCCACTGAGGTCACGGGAAGTGGGGGGCTCCCAAAGGTCACCGTAGCATTAGGTTCTTGAGTCTCCGTGTGGTTCTAGGAGGAGCCAAGAGGGCTGGGACAGCATCATCGTGGGAGCAGCCCCCTCACGCCCCGGCCCTGCGGATGGGCTGGCACAGCCTCGGGCCTCAGGCTCCATGTGTGGGCCCTCAGGTCTTGGAGTGGGACCCGGGGACCCTGAACACCCCGAGGCGTCAGCGGGGCCTGTCCCACCCACCTCTGGGCGAACCCATGGGGCTAGACAGAGCTGGCTCGGGGCCTGTGGGGCAAGGCGCCCCTGCCCTCAGAGCCCACCCTGGGACGGGGGCAGCTGCGAGGCCCTCAGAGGCCCCCCACCCAGCACAGACCCCACAGAGGCCCGGGGAGCGGGGCGGGCCCGTGCCCTGGGTGGGGGCCAGTAAGTTGGATTCCCAGGCGCCCCCGCCCCTGCCTGCTGCTGGGCCAGCCGAGCACGCCCACCTCACCCCCAAAGGCCAGCTCTCACCAGGCTGGGTCCCTCGTCCACTCCACGCCCTGCCCGGCCTCGGCCCCGGCCCCAGAGTGGGCACAGGAAGGCCAAGGTCACAGGGCAGTGGGGTCTGTGCTCACCCTGCCAGCCCAGGGTCGGGCCCCGAGGGGCCCCAGCAGCAGGAGCAGAAGCAGGGACAGTCCGGGAGGGGGCCAGGTGCCGGGGGCCCGGGCCCAGCGCCCCATGGCTCCTCCTGACCGGGCGCGAGGGGCGGCAGGAGTCAGAAGCAGAGCGGCAGGGGCGGGGGGGGGGGGTCAAGGCCGCCTGCAAATGATTAACCCGGTGGCCTCCCACGCCAGCCCGTGCGTCCCCGTACCCGCTGCCCGGCTGCCCCCTCTGGGCTCAGCTACCCGACAGCGCCCCTGGGTCTTAGCTTAGAAGCCCCTCCAGGATGATGAGGTTTCCTGGACATGCAGCCCCACCCCCGGTCCCACGGGGCCACATGGCTGGCCGCGGTCCGTTTGTGACCTGTGCTGGACTCCCCCCCAGGCCCGGCCGGGGGGCGGGGCGCTGGCCCCAGGGCCAGCGAGAGGCCGGGCGGAAAGAAGGCTGGGTGTCACGCTGTAAACAGCGACCCGCGGTGGGAACGCTGCTGTCGCTCCCAGGGTGAGCCTGGGGCGGGGCCCCCAGGAAGGACAGTGTCAGGGGCGGGGGCCTCGGCAGGACCAGAGCCGCGCCTCGGTCTGCCCTGACTTGGAGGCGTCCCCTCTCCATCTCCCCTGGGCTCCCTCTCTGGTCCCTAGCAGAGCCCTGGCCAGGCGCCCAGGGGCCACCAAGGGCCCCCGAGACCTGGCTTGGGATCCTGCCCAGTCTGGCAGCACCCGTGTCCCAGTCTGTGGACTGGGACGGGCAGCGCACAGTCCTCCCGCCCCGACCGCAGGCCGCCCACATGGGGCCTGGCTGGAGCCCCAAGCCGCCCCCTCTGTGCAGAGAGGGGAGGGTGCTGGGCGCGGTGGGTGCCGGCCCCTCTTCTCTGCGACACCTCCCCAGGACGCCCTGGTTGCATCCGGAGCAGCCCCGCAGCCCCCGTGCTCGCAGGCCCCTGACAGACTGGCGAGACCCCTCCCCCCAGCTCTGGGGAGGAAGGGGCGCAGGGCCCAGGCTGGCGTTGCCGCGAGCCCCGCCCGGCTGCCCTGCTCCTGGCCCCGCGCAGGCCCCGCAACTCGGCTCAAGTCATCCTGTACCCACGGCCCAGACCCCCTTTCCTGGGCCTTCTCCACAGTCAGGTGTCCGCTCAGGTGACCCCCAAGTGAGGCCACAGCTGCCTGCAGACCCCCACTGTGCCCTGGACAGGAGAGCCCGTGCTGACCTGCAGGTGGCACTGTGAAGTGGACAAGACCAGGACCTGACCTGTGGGCCACTTCCTCATCCCCTCCCCCGACAGGGGAACAACGCCTCCCCGAGGACAGGGCCTGGGACCCCAGCACCCAGCAGGAGGCCAACGCGCCAGTCCTTGAAGATACTTTATTGAGGGGAGGCTGGGTGCCCGGGCAGCAGGGGGCGGGGCCAGGAGCCCCCGGAGCCAGCCGTCTGCGGCCGCACCCCCCGCCCTCTCCCGATTTGGCTCCAAGGCCCCTGCGATGGACTCAGGCTGCCCCCCCGAGGTCACGGGCCTTCACAGTCGTGTCCAGGCGGCAGCTCAGGTGCGGGGTTGGGAGGCACAAGGGGTCCGCCGCTGGGGGCCTCAGACGAAGGTAGCGTGGTGTGGGCTGGCCTTGGGCTTGGCGGGCCTACCTGGGACAGGGCTCAGGCCCGGGGGGTCTGATGCGGGGCCCCTGCTGGCCGGTGACCTCCGGGGCCCCGCCCACACCCCTGGGAGCCTGCGGCCCAGCCCGGGCACCGAGCCGCTGACCAGGTCCACGTCGATGATCGTGTTGACCGGGAGGCCTCGGCTGCTGCGGGCCCCGCCCCCTGTCACAGGAGAAGAGAGAAGCTGTCAGCCGCAGCCCACAGCCCTGCAGGCGCCCAGGGCAGGGGTCCGCGCCCCAGCTGCCTCGCAGACAACTGGGCACGGGAGGGTTCCTCAAATGCCCAAAGGCACCCCCGAGGCCGGCAACCTCTGACCTCAGCCTCCCGGCCCGGGGATCCTGCCGACTGCCCACCTCGAGCCTCCCGTTAAACGAGCCCACAGCCCCCGGGGCCCCTGCACACCTGGGCCGCCGAGAGGGCCTGGCAGGCACCACGCAGCCCAGCAGGCAAGGCCCTGAGGCTGGGGCTGCGGGCTGAGGGCTGGGGTGCAGGGCCCAGGTTTCATGCTGGGGGACCTGGGGGAGCCCCTGTTGGTCACAGGGACTCCCAGGGCTCCCGCGCCCTGCCCTCGTTCAGTCTGTTCCTGCCCAACCTGGGCCCCCACAGCCGCCCCCAGACGCCTGCCCCTGCCACCCCCTCCACCTGAGGGCCCCGCACTGTCCCCTTGCCAGGGCCGTCGGCGGGAGGGGTGAGCTGTGTGTGCTGACGAAACGAGTGTCTGTGACCTGATGGGGGGCCAGGGAGGGGCCCCGGGGCCCCACGAGGGGTCCGGTGGGCCTCTGGGGTGGGCTCTGGCCAGTGGAGAGCAGTGTGCAGGGACTGTCTCCATGAAACCCCCCACTGGTCCCCTGCCCCAGGCTCATCTTGCTGGACCCCTGCTGAGGTCCCCCGTCTCATCTTGCACTGACCCCCACCCCAGACTAGTACCGCTCCCCAATTCCTGCTGGGGGGCCGTCTGCGAGCCTGTCCTCAGGCCGAGGGGCCTCTAGGGAGGCGGAGAGTGGGTCCCGAGGGGCAGGCCCCTTGCCTGGCCGGGGGTAGGACCAAGCCCGGGCTGGGGCTGTTCCGGACAGCACTGGGCACTCAGGCCTCATCCACAGGCCTCGCTGCCAGCGTCCCGTGCCCCCAGCGCCCTCCAGCCGGGGCGCCAGCTTGTCCGCCTGCCTGTGCCTTGGCCCACGCCTTCACCCTCACAGACTCCGAGTCTTTCCTGGCTGCCCTCCCTCCAACCCCGTCACCAAGCCTGCGCCTTGTGCCCCACCCCAGCCGCCTGCCCGCCCCCCATCCAGGCCGCTCAGTGCCCGCTGCCCGCCCCATGCCAGCCCCAGGGGCTCCTGGGCTGCCGGAGATGCCTTGGGAGCTCCCAGACCTTGGGTGGGCATTGTTGCTGGAGGACAGAGACCTGTCTTCCCAGGTGGCGTCCTCAGGGGCGGCAGGAGCAGGCCCAGGCTCACCCGAGGGTGGGGGCAGGTCTCGCTGCCTGGGTTAGGGCCCCGGTCTGCCAGGAGCGGGGGGGAGCCTGGCCTACCTACAGGGGTGTCGGCGAGCCTGGGGCCAAGGACCCTCAGGGACCCGTGGGGGTGGGGAGCCCCAGCCCATGACCGGCAGTGAGCAGGCTGGAGGAGGGGTCCTGCCCCACAGAGCCCCTCCCCGGGCCCCGGTTTCTGTGGCCTAGTGGGGGGAGGCGAGGCCCTGCTCCCTCCGTGGGTCCGAGGCCTCTGAGTGCGGCGGGTCGGCTGCAAGGTCAGGGGCCTGTGATCCCCCACCTGCCCTGTGGCCCCGAAGTCCCCGACCCCCGCCACACTCCACGCCTCCACAAGTGCCTCACACGGCCCCCCGGGAAGGTCCTCTCCACGAGTCCTGGACGGGCACATCAGTGTCAGGGCGCCCGGCCGGCACGCGTCCTCCCTCCTCACACGGGGCCGCTCGGGCCAGGTGTGTCCTATCCAGAACAACGGTAAAGGTTTTTAGGAAGAGCTGCCCCTCCTGAGGGCCAGGGTCCAGTCCTTTAGTCATTCAACAGACGTTCCACTAGGGCCTGTCCACTGGGACCCCCGCAGGCCCCAGCTTGTCACCAGGTTCCCAGGCTCCACACAGCAGCTGCAGCTCCATCCAGCCTCAGGGTACAGAGAGGGCAGGGCTGCCCCTGGATCCTTTGCCCTCACCTGGGCATCAGCCTGGAGGCGCACAGGGCCTGTGGCCCCACAGGGGCTGGGGAGCTGGGCCCTCTCCCGTCCACCCCAAACGGGCCCGGGAAGACAGAGGCCTGCGGGGGCAGGCTCAGCACAGGCCCTGTGCGCAGGGCGGCTCAGCAAGCTCAGGAGGCAGAGTGCCCGCCTCTGGGATGAGGTGGCCAGCGCACAGGCTGAGGACGTGCGTGTCACCGGGAGGGTGGCCGAGGTCCAGGCCCTGCCCACCCGCCCGGCCCGGACTTGCTCTTCTGAGTAAGTGGCAGCCCGAGGACCGTGACTCAGTGGCAGGGACCAGCCCCGCACGGCAGGCAGCGTCACGGCCACGTGCCAGGGCCTGCCCCGGAGCAGCCACTGCCCGGCCCGCCGGGCCGGCCCTCCACAGGGGCCACCGTTTCCAAAGGGAGCGCGGCTCTACTCTCCGCCCCTCCAACACCAGACACCAGGCTGGAGCCAGTGCCCCGTCTCCGGCCGCCGGGCCACCCTGCTGCGCCCGCCTCCCCAGGGAGCCACAGCCCGACTCGGGCCGGCCAGGTTCTGGGGTTCCGACTCCCCGCAGTCCGCCCCCTGGGGGGCCCGGCTGGGCTGCCCGCGGCAACCGGGGCCTGCAGAGGCCCTTCCCCGTCGCTGGCCGTCTGCCGTCTGTCCGCTGGGCCAGCCTTTCATTTGTCCACACTGGCATCCTCGGCACCGGCTGCCACCTCTGCTCTGGTCCTCCAGACTCCACATCAGGGGGTGGGGGTGCAGTCAAGGCCCTCCTTTTGAGGACAGTGGGGTGCAGGGCTGCACTGGCAGGGCCAGGCTGGGGGCACGGCCTGACCCCTGGGCCGCCTCTAGGCTCTCCCTGGGGATCCAGCGCCAGCTGCCTGTCCCCTGAGGGACCCTCCTTGTCCTCCATCGCTGTGACTTCGGCCCACTCACTAAATTGTCTGGCAGGCTGGGTTCTTCATGTCCTTCAAGGCCATCCTGGCCACCTCCTCTGTGAAGCCTCCCAGGCTGCCCCTCAGGCGCTCCCCCAGTACAAGGAGGCAAGGGCACAGCTGAACTGGAAAACACGGGGCCGGGGCCGGGGCTCCACGGCCCACCCTCCACCGCCAGCCCTCCTGGGCCCCACCCCATTCGGCCTGCTTCCTCACAGGCTACTGGGTCCCCCTGGGAAGGAGCTTGACAGCCACAACCAGAGTCCTGGTTCCCACCCGTGGCATGGCCACGCACCCGGTCCCCTCCCCTGGGGCCTGCGGCTGGATGGGGCCTGCATCTAGGACGGGGTAGGGCTGGGTTAGTTCCTCATTCAGCAGCCTGTGCTGAGTGCCCTTGGCGCTGGGACCACTGCACACGAGGCAGGGGCGCCTCCGGGGGAATGGGGACAGGGCGGGCTCAGGGCCACACCCAGGGCCAGCCGTGGCCCTGGGGGAGGGGACAGATGACAGACAGCAGCCAAGGGAAGGGCCTCTCCAGGCACCCGGTTGCCGCAGGCAGCCCAGCAGCGCCCCCCGGGGGGGCAGAACGTGCTGAGTCAAAACCGCAGAACCTGGCCGGCCCAAGTCGGGCTGCGGAGCCCTGGGGAGGAGGGCGCAGTGGAGCCATGACAGCCTGCGCTGGGCCCGGGGCAGGGGCCAGCTCGCTCAGCCCCGGGGAGCGCGTGGGGCGGGCTGGCTAGTGTGGGAGCCCTGGCACCCGGCAGGCGGTCCGCACAGCTCCACCCCAGCCAGGGCCCCACGGGGCACCAGAGCGCGCTGTGCTGGGCAGGGGGCCCCAGAGCGGCCCTCAGCTGGGGCCCAGCTCCGTCCGATGGCCCGAGAAGGCCTGGCAGTCACCCTCCTCCACACCGTGGTCTGTGCTGGGAGGTGGAACCGACCAGGAAGGCAGGGGTGTGTGGCTGGGCATGCCCCTTGACCTCTGAGACGGAAGGGCCAGGCCCTGGGCTGAGGAGACCCACATGTCTGCCGTCTGTCCTGGGAGGCCCCAGCGCCCCTGGGGACAGACAGCTGGACCAAAACTGCCAAGGAGGCCTCCCTGCGGCTGTTGTCCTGGACACAGCTGGAGCAGGACAGGGCCCCCCCGCGCCTGGGGCTGACCAGGTGTGACGCACTGGAACCTGTGGTTGGAAGTGCAGGTTGCGGGTGGGGAGGAGGGATGGTAGCTGAGCACTGAGCAGCCTGCTGTGGACACAGGCTCCCAGGACTCCTGGCCACACCAAGGGCACGCGGTCTGGCTGCCTTCGATGCCAAGGGGAAGGGCGCAGTCCCACATGGCCTCTGGCTGCCGCTCCAGCTCTGTTCCCATGGAAACCGTGTCATGCGGCCCCGGCCGCCCCAGCTGGTGCGCTGCGCGCACAGGGACCACCAGGGCTGTGCGGGAGCTCTGAGGGGGCGAGCTGCAGGCTCCTCCAGAGCCGCCACTCACGCAACCAGGCACTGGACCCGCCCTGGGATGTCTGAACTGGCTCCTGCCCCGCCCAGTGGGCAGCCGCCCCTTGCCCCCGAGCCCCGGGGACCCTGTGGCTGATAGCTGTGCAAGGATCCCTCCTGGGAGGGACGCGTGGCCCTGCCTGCAGCTTCACTTCCGCGCGACTGCTAAGGGGTAGACAGCGACCAAGGACAGCTCCGGGCGCTGAGAAGGCACAGGCGCCCTGGGATGGAGGGTCTCCCCCAGCCAGTGAGCACACCCGAGACCAGCCCTGCCCTCCGCACAGCCCTGTACGACTGACGACCAGTCTGCCCCTCGCTCTCCAGTACACAAGGGTAGCCACGGCTGCCGCCCCGTCTGGCCCTGCCCAGGGGTGGGAAAGGCCGAGAACACCCATGACCTCCCGGGGGCTTTCCTGGGGGTTAGGACCCGGACAGCCATGGGCTGCCCTAGGCTGTGCTTGGGCAGCGGCGCCTGACACGCAGGCTCGCCTGCACTGCATGGCCCTCCGCAGCCCGCGCCTTCCTGCTGAGGGCCCGCCCCTCGCCCTGGCCCGCGTGGAGCGTTGCCTCTATGCCAAAAGGTCGTGGGCTCAATCCCCAGTCAGGGCACTTGCAGGAGGCAACCTATTGATGTTTCTTTCTCAGGTGGACGTCTCTCCCTCTAAAGTCAATAAATTTATGTTTTTAAAGAAAAAGAAAGCCTGCATCTTTCCAAGACCTGCTGTTCTGAAGTCTTCCGTCCTTGGCCGCAGAGGGCAGGCACGTGAGCCAGGCCGGGCGGGTGGCGGGGCCCTCATTGCTGGTGTCCCCGACCAGCTGAGGTGTGGGGACCCCAGGGCCTGGCTGCACCACACTCTGTGCGCATCACCCCGGACAGAGGGGCCGCTGTGGCCACCAGGCCGCTCAGACACCTTTCACAGCAATCGCTGGGACCAACGAGAGTGACCCTGAGCAGCACAGTCTAGTCTGATCCCGGGGCTCCCGGCCCAGGTCTCCCGGGTGTGGGTCCCCTCCATCGCAACGTGTGCAGGCTACGTGGCTGGGCAGTTCTCTAATGCACTGACCGCATGGAAGCCCCACTCGGAAGCCTCCCAGCCGCTGTCCCTGTCACCTGAGGCCCTTCCCAGCAGCAGCGGCTTGGCAGCTTCAGGCAGACCCTCCCTGGACCCCCACCCTCTCTTGCTCAGGACAGCCAAGAGCTATGCCCGGGGGTTTTGGGGGGTAGGGGGATGCGGCCAATGGTGGTCAGGAGGAGCCTGCTGGGCTGGGAACACCTGTGCTCCTACATGGCTGGTGCCACCCACCTGTTGCCATCAAGACACCAGGGACAACTAGGACACGGAGGGCACTGATGTCCCTGAGGGGCGAGGCAAGGAAGAGAGGGCGCCTGGCCAGGGCCCACGGCCCACGAGGACGGTTGTTCGGTGGAAGTCTGAGGCCGGAGCAGGGGCGCTGACACGTCCGAGCACGAGTGTGGAGCGCAGAGGCAGGTGGGAGCTGAGGGAGGGCAGCCGACCACAGGGCAGCCGGGGAACCTCGGCTCCGTGACCCCGGGCCACGAGCCAGAAGAGTCGGCCTGGCGCCTCACCTCCCCGGGGGGCAGCAGACGGGCGAGGCCTGCCCGCCGCAAGCACTGGTGTTCTTAGGAGCGGAGGCCCCGGGCCCCACCCTACCCCCACGCTCCCCACAGAGGCCCCAGGGCGGCCCCCGGCATGCTCCACACCGGCTGAGTTTGTGCGCGCAAGGAGGGTGCTTGAGAATATCTGCTGAGTGCATGGCCTATTTTAAAAAGCCACTATCCCACTGGAGTCCCTAAAACTGTGTGATATTTTCCCTGGAGTAAGGTACACCTGTAGTTTGCCAAAGTGGAAATGAGCATTCAAGGGAGAGAAAGAAAGTTTTGAAGCAGTCCAGTGATGAGCTCTAGCGTTTATTCCTCTTGGAAGAACACAGACTGAGACACGGTGACACTACACACAGCGGCCGCAGGGAAGAGCAGGGGAAGTCAGCGCTGGGCGCGCAGGAGTGCGCACGCATGCAAAGGCCCGCCCTCCCGGCTGCGGGCGGCACTGTATCCGCGGGAAGGCACCGGCTGCCCCACACCGCACACATGCCCTCTACACGCCGGGCGAGTGCGCGTGCCCAACACAGTGACGGCGCCCTCCTCCCCCTGCAGGTGCGGCGGCAGGTCCTGGGGCAGGACCCCCGCTGCCATCGGACCCCAGGTGGGCCCGAACAAAGGGGTGTTCGCGCTGCCCTGACAGCAAGCAGGTCGTGGCCGAAAGTGTCCCGCGCCACCGAGCATGCAGAGAAGGATGGCCACCGGGGGCTCTAGCAGAGCGCACGCTGAACAGGCTCCTTACCCACACTGGGGGCGGGGACAGGGACGCAGACACACCGCTGCAGCCCCTCTGGCAGGAGGCCAGGAGCCTTGCTTCAACCTCTAACTCGCATGGCTCCCGAGAGGTGTCCCTGCCACCAGCCGCACTCTCACCGAGTTCAGGAACACACTAAACTCACGCTCCCGGAAGTTCAGGGAAACGCCGTGACAGCCCGAGGTCAGGACACTGCAAGGAAAGCCCTACAGCGCTCTGGGACCTGCGCCGCACCTGGGCCCACAGGGCCAACACCGCGCCCATGGGCTCCAGCGTCCGAGAGCGCGGTCCTGCTCGATCGCCGGCACTGTACTTACTTCTCAGGACAAAGGCTTTTTCCTTTCACTCTTGAGACAAACACTGAAAATGCCAGCTCTCCACATTTTGAAAGTGACACATACATTTCCAGAAGTCCCTAGGGTCTTGTTCAGTGGGCCCAGGGCCGAGGGGGAGGCTGGGGAGGAGGGGCGGCTGTGCGCGCGCGCACACGGGCACGTCTGCCTGGAGCCCCCCGCGACCCGTCCTGACACACTCGGACCCGGATGCTTGTAGAAAACACGGGGCAGACCACACACACCTGGTACCGAGGGGGGACGGTGCCGTGGAAACAGAGTGGCGACCTAGCACAGCTGTGTCTGTTTTACCGGGGATGAGGCGGACGCCCCCGGCGGACACCCCCGGGCGGGCACTGGAGTGGCAAGGAGTCAGGGGTGACCGGGGGAGCCCAGCCTGGCGGTACCTGGTCTGGGAGGTCCGGCCGAGTCCTGCTGGGCTGGGGGCGGCGGCAGCAAAGTGCTGTTGGGGCTGCTGATGTCCCCCTCCCCAGTGAGCGTCAGGTCAGCCACGTGCTCGCCCTCCATGGTCTGGACGTCCCCAGCCTCGGCTTCCTGCGCGCAGGGGCTGGGGGTCGCGGGGGTCGAGGGGGTCGTGGGGGTCGTGGGGGTTGAGGGGGCCGCGGGGGTGCAGAAGGACAGGCTGTCGGCCGAGCTGGGGCTCGGCGCCGGGCCACTGGGCTGGTCCCGGGGGGGCCCCCTCGGCTCTCGGGGCCAGGGCGCCGCCTCCTGGCCGGGGCTGGTCACAGCCGTCCCGCAGGCGAGGCCGGGAGCGGGCGGGCCCTGAGGTAAGCGCAGGAACTCGGGCAGCACCAGGTCTTCCTTCCTCAGCAGCCCACGCTGGTCGTCTGCTCTGTTGCTCTGAGCTTTGGAAATAAGCTCAAAAAACGCTATTGGAAGAAAGCCCACATTGACCGAATTAGAGTTTTGCCCTTGGGGCCCCGCGGCCGGAGTGCACGTCTGGAAAGCTCTCGTCCCATCGCCCCGCGGCCAGGAGGCACCTGCCTCTCCGCCACCTCTGCCTGAGGAACGGTGGGAAGGCCTGGGTTTCTACAACAACCCAAACAGCTCTGAACCTCCCTGGGAACTGGGTTGTATGGAGTCCAGACCTGAGTCGTCCCGAATCTGTGGCCCCTGGGCTGACGTGCCCAGGAGCGCGCTGTCTGTGCTCAGGCGAGGACGGCGGCCCTGGGGACCCTTTACACCCATTCCTGGGTCCCCTCCAGAAAGATGGGAGGGCCCTGCAGATGCTGCAGCATGACAGAGCTACGGGCTGAGGGAAGCTGCCTCGGCCGGGGGCAGGGCCACGTGAGGAGGGGGCCTTGGTGGGGGCACCACAAACCGGGGGCCTCCGGCATTGCCCCGTCACTCGGGGTGGTCCTGATGAGCAAACCCAAGCCCCGCAGCCCCCGCCCCCACCGGCTCCCCCACGTCCTGGCCCCTCAGCGGCCTGCCGCCTCCCTCCAGCTTCTGTGCTGGCGCCTCCAGGGTCCCTTTTGCTGACCTGGAGGACTTTTCAGTTGTGACTCAAGGTCACCGTTCCCAGGAGGCGGTACCTAAACTGAGCTTTCTCTAGCATTTACATTACACTCTCAGTTTTTGAACAAGAACAAGGACTTGAAAATCTCAAACCTTAACGCGTCTCTAAAACGCACAGCTTCTGAGTGGGGGTGTTCTCCTTCCACCTGAGTGACCCCCACGGCGGGTGGGCATTTATGGGTTGAGGGGTGGGCTGCGCGGGGAGTGGCAGCTGACCAGGCAGAGCTCCCTAACTTTAAACCCAGGCCCCAGCAACAGTGACTGGTTCTGATTCTGCTCTCCTGCTTTTGCCAGCACTTTGTGGAAGAGGAAGAAGTTTCCACAGGAGAGACCGTCCCTCCCTCTCAATCTCCGGTGCCTCCTTCCCGTCCTGCAGGCCTGGGCAGGTACAGCCCGCAGGCTGCCGCACGGAGGGTCGGCGAACCAGGCCCCCGCTCCCCACTGCCGGCCTCCTCCTCCCTGGCACCTGCCTGCTGTTGAGGACCCTCTGACACTAACTGAGCCTCCATCGCAGCTGGGGACACTGAAGGAGGGGGCAGGCTGTACCTGCGGGGACCCCTGTGCTGCCCACCCCGTGCCACTGGGGTGCGCCCTGACTCCTACGGGCCCGGCTCTCAATCTGAAAACTAGGGTTCTGGTGAAGTCACGCCAACAACCCCAGACTGACACCAGGGGGTACACTCCCAAGTGACAGGGAGCCCAGTCAATCACTCAAAGAGGCTCTAACGGTCGTACCAGAACACTGACATTGTAGTCACTAAAAAACGTGCAAGTTTAAAAAGTACACATACCCTCTGCTTCGTCCAAATTAATTTTCTGATATTTTTTTTTCCCAATCTTTGCAATAGATTCTTCTCTCTTTGAAAGCCGGGGATCCCTAGCATTTTTTCCATTTTCTCCTTTTATTTTAATAGAATTAGACTTGCCTAGCGTTCTCTCCTCTCCCTGCATTAGAAGGAAAGTCAAAGTTCTACTCACAGTTCAGACACATGACAGCACACAATTCATCAGTTACAGAAAGGAAAGGTCTGTGACCCAGTCCACAGGGACTCGCAGGGAACAGTCACCGTGATCAAGACTCAAACAGCAGAGCATGCGGGCCCAGCGCCTCCCACAGGCAGGCGTGCTGGTGCGTCTCAGGTCCCGGGAGTACGCTCAGGGGGGCATGGAGGCCACCCAGGGGCGGGGCGACACACAGTCTTATTATTTGGGGCATGAGGCCAGCCTGTGGGGGGCGGGGAGCGGGGGCACCAGGCGGGCCGGGCGGGGGAATTACCGTAGCCGAGAAATTTCTGGAGCTGGAGTTGACAACTGCATTCTGTTTGACTGGGGCGCCTTTCTGTTTATCTGTGGATAGGAACAGAGCGACATAAGCTTTACAACTGCAGTGACCATTCATACTGTCTTTAAGAGCAAAGCTGGAGAGGACAAGGTGTGGCATAACCTCTATCTGATCTGCACATACAGGCCGAATGCCCCGCGCAGGACCAGGGGCAGGACCAGCCTCCTCTGCCTTCGCCTGAGGCAGGATGTGCTGTGTGCGGGGGGCGGGGGGGAGCACAGGTTGGCTTGACCATGTTTATTGGGACATGTTGGAGGCAAGGCAACTGAAGCGCCGGCTTCATGGGCTATTCTGTGCGAACCTTCTCTAGAGAACAGAGTCACACACTTTCAAATACGACTATCACTCCAAGTCAGGGCTGCCCTCTGGCCTCCGCCGGCCTGCACGGCCCCAAGCCTACCTCTCTGGCCCAGCTGGGCTGGAGGAAGGGCCGCTGTGCCTGCCAGCAGCTGCCCAAACACCCTGCCTGCTGGCCTGCCGCTCTGCAGACTCGCTGGTGCACAAGCAGGCCAGAGGCCCAGGCGGGTCGGGCCCTGGAGGGCAACACCGTGGTGCCCCCCGCCTGCCGGGTGAGCAGGCCCTGGGAGGGGAGTGCAGCATCCTCTGGGCTGGCCCAGGAAGGTCTCTGCTTTAGTGTGGGGAGGAGCCACCATCAGGACCGCCACCGCAGGCCACCCGAGGGAACGGGGGCATTTCAGAGCTGAGCAGCCCTCAGAAGGTACGTGGTCCGCAGCCCCGGCCAGGCCTCAGGCAGCTCCTTATAAAGCCGCCTCCTCGCCAAGGGGACCAGTTGGCAGGGTCAGAAGGCTCCCTCCAGGAGCCATCTTCCCACTGCCCCACCAGGGAAGGGGTGAAGGGGGAGGCAGGGGCCGGGCTGTGGGACCCGGGTGCCCCAGGGCAGGATGCGGCCAAGGTGGCAGCGCCCTGTGGGAAGAGCTCTGAAGCCGCACACAGGGAACAATGGGGTGGCACCACAGACACTCCCCAGTCCACGAGGCTCCCAGGACCATGTCCCTTGCTCCCGGGGACGAGGAGCTCCCAGGAGCAGAGCGTGCTCTCGGCCTCTCTCATTAAAGCACACCCAGGCACGCGAAACCCCGGCGCAGCCCTGGGGCGGGGGCGCCGCGGGGCCCGCTGGCTGAGGACAGGGGCGCGGGCTCTCGGCTCTCAGGAGGCACAGGCTTCTGGGGAGCGGGGCTGGGCGGCGGCGGCCCAGCAAGGCCCTCTGCGGGTGACCGGCCCGGGGCTTTGAGGGGCCTCACTCACCTTTCCCCCTGAGGGGGTCCTTCTCCTCCAGGATGACCCGCTGTCCATCCAGACTCGATATGGGGGCGCCGAGGTCCAGGGGCTCTTTCTCTCCATTCTAGAGACCAAGAGGGCGCGCTGGGAACTCACCCAAACCAGGACTTTCCGGAACAGCTGCCTGTGGTCCAGGCTTGGTCGCACGCTGCCCCAGAGCGCATTCCAGGGGCAGCCAGCCCACGGGGCCTGCGGCAGGTCACAGGCTCCTGACGTGGAGCAATGAGAATTCAAGCCCTGGTGGCTTCCTGGACTGCAAGGGCCCCGAGGGTTCCGTGGCGAGGGGGGGGGGTTGCTTCTGTCACTTGAGCGACAGCAGGTGGCCTCACTTTGCCGGCCCAACACCGGGGCGAAAGAACACCTGGCGGGGCGGCAAGCTTCCTGGTCTACAAATGTAATGTTTTAAATATGAAGTCAGGTCGGCGTGAAACCTTGAGCTGCTTAAACCTGCACGAGGAGACCCTAAAAAGCCACCGCCCTGACCTGCCGACACTGTTAGGAAGTAAATGCGGACAGCAGACGCCTCCCTGTGGACAAGGACACAGGGGAGGGACTCAAGTGGCGCTGAGACAGGACACGGGGGAGACCACCTGCTACACAGCACCCACAGCCACTGCTCCAAAAGAAGCTGAGCTGGAGCCTGACTTCTTAAACCCCTGGGAGCCGGGACAACAGCGCCCTGAGGCAGCTGAGCCAGTTCCTGGCAGGAACGCGGCCTGGCTGCTGGCCGGCCTGAAGCCCCACAGCAGCCCTTGACTAACCCACTTTACAGATAGGGATGCCGAGGCCCAGAGAGGCCGAGCAGTGGCTGGGGGTCTCACGGGGGAGAGCAGCGAGGCCCCTCTCTGCCCAGCACCCTGGGCTCCAGCAGGGCGGCGCTCCCTTGGAGCCCAGGAGGGGCTGCGGGCTTAGCACAGTCCTCGCCCACGTCAAAGATTGTGAACAATTATAGGGCCTGTTTCAAAGAAAATCAAAATCCTAAAAATACATGAAATCATAGCTCCGATAAAGTTTATTTGCTAAAGAAATAAGAACGCAAGGCCAACTATATCACGTATCACTGTATGCCGCAGCAAATAGCCACAGCGGCCACACAGGCCGGAGCTCTGGAACGCACGAGGCCTTGGCCCTCAGCCTGCCGACCCGGGAGAGCTCCCGCGCGCGCCTCTGGCTGCAGCGACGGGCTCTGCCCCTGCCGGGCCCCCTTTCCTCCTCCATCCCCAAGTGCTCTCCTCCTCAACCCACTCACATGATGACCCAACAGCCCGGCCGGGAAAGAAAGGCCAGGGAGACTGTGAACTCCACCAAGCGGAGATGGGAATTGGGAAATCCCATGAGAGGATGTGCCCGGGGCGGCCGGCTCAGGGCGCAGGAAGCAGAGAAGCTGCTCAGACTTGCAAATAATAGGCCTATTTCAGGGTGGTGTGTTTTTTTTCCGGAGACTAAAACCACACCTCAAGTACCAACCTCAATCCCTTTGGGGAAGACCACGGTGTAAGGAAGCGAGCGTCCCCACTCTGTGGGATGGGACACTGGGGGCATGGAGGCGCCCTCCCGACCCAGGGCCGGCAGGGAGGGGCTGGGACGGTCGCCAGCTGCTCGGGCACCTGGCCCCGCCGCAGGGAGCACCGCAGGCCCCATGCACTCACCAGCCGGGCCACCAGCTCACTCAGGTGCAGGCCGTATTTGGCCACCACGGGCCGCAGCACTTCCGTGACGGGCTTGGTGGGCTTGGCCTTGAGTCCCACTGACCGGTTAATGGGAACCAGATCCAGCCTGGTCGGAGAGGGAGACACATGCACACACCCACTGCAAACCTACGTCGGTCTTCACGTAGGGGTTCTGTCTTGAGCAGGACAACATGGCACCCCCAGGCCCCCTCAGCACCCTGGAGCCGCCCGGCCCGGCCCCGGCCCGCCCCTCAGGCTCTGACGGCGGGCGCAGGCCCACAGGGGCCCCTCCAGGCCTCCTTCAGAGCTGAGCAGGGGCTGTCACGCTCAGCAAAGAGGGGGCCCCACGAGGGGCCGGGCCGCCGGCCCCCCAGCCCCTTGCATCTGCACGCAGCTGCTGCCCGCCGGCCCCTGACTGGGGCTGGCGTCCCCTTCCCAGTGGCCAGCAGGGACAGCCGTCAGAACACTGTGCGGCTCTGGGAACCACGAAAACGGCAACTGCATTCTTCTCACCGAAACAAAGTACGCTTTTCTAGGCGCAGGTCCCTGGATGCCAGGATGCTACTGTCCTGATGCAGCACCAGAGGCTGTGGGACACAAAAGGAACAAGTAGGCGGGATCAGCGTGGCGCAGGGCGCCCGGCAGTGCTCCCGTGAGCCACTGCGGGCGAGCCCACCCTGCGTGCAGGGTCCAACAGCAGGGACCCCTCGGGACGCCTCCAGCAAACGGATGAGACAAGGAGCCTAACACCACGGCCCTGAGGGTGGGGAACCAGGCAGGTTGAGACAACGAGACAGACATGAGCGGGTCCTCCCACAGGCCAGGGCCTCACGGGGCGGGTCCCCTGGGAGAAGGGCCCCGAGGGGCTGCTGGGCCCAGTACCTTGTCCCCGCCCACCAGGAAGAGGTCCACGGCGGCCCCGTTGATGCCATGGCGCTCGCAGAGCCCGGACAGGACCTCCTTGATGGACAGCCCCGCCCTGACGAGCACGGTGCAGGACGTCCCGTCGGGGAGCTGGATGCAGCAGTGCTTGGCGGCCTTGTCCCTCTCGGGCGCCAAGGTCCTGCAGGCCTCTGACTGCGGGGCAGGAGAGGGCGCCGGGTCACAGGGTGCACAGGGCACCCTGGGAGGGGCAGAGGTCGCGCACACGCGCTGAGGGGCCCGTGCCCAGGTCCAGAGACGCACGCCTGTGGTGACAGCTGCACAGGGCACGGCGGGGCTCGGGCGCCGGCCGAGGGCTGGGGCCGCTGCGCTCCCACAGGGACAGCACAGCCTTTCCCTCGACCTGACGCTGGACTGATGACCTGGCCCGGTCTGGGGACACAAATGCCTGTGGGCCCCGCGTCTGCCAGAGCAGGACACCGCTCTCTCCAGGGCCTGGTCTTAGGCCGCTCGACCTAGAAGCAGAGGGGTCACTCTCTAGAGCCTACGAACACGAGCCACTCCGCGACCCAGAGCTGCCCTTGCCCACCTCCGTCTGCGGGACTGGGACCCGCGCAGCGGGCTGGACTCTACTCCAGGGCCCGGGCCGACCCCGCCTGGGGGCCCTCTGCTGCTTCTCGTCCTCTTTCCGGCTCTTGCCACCCGCTCCCAGGACCTGGCCCCGAAGCCACTCCAAGAGGAACAGCAGGCTGACACCTGGACAGCAGGTCGGCCTGAGGAGGTTGGAAGGGGCTACCAGGAGGTCCTGGAAAGCCACTCGGGGTGGGCAGCGGCTGCCAGGGGCTCGGCGGGAGGCTGGGCTCCACCCTGTCGTGGTCACCAGCCGAGGGCCCACCCTGTCAGCACGGGGGGACAGACTGTGACCGTGTGTGCCCAGAGGGCACTGACTGCCTCAGCCTGGACGAGGACAAGGCCCAAGCTCGCCTGCCAGCCCCTCAGAGGCACACGAGAGTGAGACAGCTGCGGGGTGGGAGCGGGCCTTTCCCACCGGCAGCATCTGCGATTGGGCTGCCTGCCCTGCGCACGCGCCAGGTCAGGGCTCGGGGAGCTGCCAGTCAGCAGTGCCCGGGAGGTGCCCGGGAGGCCAGGACGCCAAGGCGCGCAGCATGTGCAGGGGCCAGCCCGTGGCGGCGGGCCGGGCGGTGCACCTCGGGGCCCTCCTGACACCTCCTCTGGGTCTGAGTCCCAACCTCCCCTCCTCCGCGGAAATGCCCCCTGCACACATCTCAGTGCAGAGCGGGCCCTGCCGGCCCCTCCACAGTCGCCGTCTCCTCGGGACACTGAGAATCTCTACCACCCAAATGGCATTTCAGAAAACTAGTTTGTAGGAGGCAAACTGATTACAAAATGGCCCCAACTACCCCTTCCCACAGGCTCAAGTGCGTGGAGCCCCCAGGCGCAGGGTGGTTTGTCAGGAGCAACCGCTAACGGTCGCGCGGCAAACCCTCACAACTGAAGATGACGTGTTCACTGCACACCTCTGTTGGCAGCTGCAAGTGACCAGGGTGTGGTCGCGGTAAGGTTTTCCAAAACGGGTCTCAGACAACAGCCAACAGCTGGCAGGTCCAACCCCATGCCTCCCGCCTGCCCCCCCCAACTGGAAACTGGGGCCAAGTGAGCAACCAGACACCCCGGTCAGCAGGGAGCGAGGACAGAGCCGGGCTCCCAGGGGTGGGGGCGGGTAGAGAGGGCCCCCCCGGGACGGCCCCCACAAACACGGGCATGTCTGGGTTAGCGGGATGTTCAAATGGTGAGACAAGGACAAAGCACCCGCCTTCAAAACTTTTCTTTGCTCTTGGTGGGAATTAAAGAAAAAAAAAGTAACTGAATAAGAACAGTAAGATTTCAAAGATAAACCCAGAGATGTGCTTGGCGCCGAGGGGCACCCCCGCATCGACCAGGTGGTTCCTCGTCCCGTCCCAGGAGCCCCGTCCCCCACGTCCCCACGGCACTTGTTAGGTTGTGACAAACAGGCTCTCGGTGACGAGACACGCCTGTGGGCCTCCTGAAGCGGGCGGCCCCTGGGCCCGGGCAGGCGGGGACTTACCAGGTCCAGGCTCCCAGCAGAGGACACGGAGCCCTGCGACTCCCTGCGGCCCAGGCCTCCGTTGGCGCGTGGGGGCTCTTGTGGGAAACACAGCGACTCAGAGTCAGAGCTTCACCCGTCCCCGCCCAACACAGGCGCCCGCTCGCCCGGCCTGGCTCCCCACCCCGCCCCTAGGGGAACGGAGGGCCGCCGAGGAGAGAGGGCGGAACGGAAGAGGGGGCGCTCGCGGGGGCGCAGGCGTGCCCTCAGCACAGACCTCCGCCGAGGAGCTGGCCACGGCTCCGGAGCCGCTGCCCCACTCTGTCCTTGGCCACCGCCGGCCGCGGCGGCGAGCTCAGAGCAGGTCGCCAGGCAGGGCAGTGCTCCTGGGGCAGGACCTCCCTTCCCTTCATTTCATCTGGAGTTTTTATCCAACTTGTGATTTCTGGGCCTAAACATAAACTGTCCCCAGCAGTGAGCCCAGCCGGTCACTGCACCTTTACCCAAGGCTCATGTCACGTGTTCCCGCAAAGTCCTCAACTGAGCCAGCAGCCACCATTGTCACTAATTAAACTAAATTGCAATCTTAGACTAAGCTGAAAATCATGAAAACTCTCATCTAGAAAGAACCTTCTGCAACGTGGGCTTGGGGGCATGGGGTGGGGCAGACACAGGGCCCCTGGGTCTGACTGACCTTTTGAACCACTGCCCTACCCTTCCAAAAGCAACAGATGCCCAGGCCACCAAGTCCAAATCCCTGGGCAGTGCCGTGGGGTCAGGACGTGAAGCTCTCTACAGAGCCGCCAGGCATGCGCCCCCGGCCTCGGGTCCTGCACGGGCGGACTGACTATACGGGATGAGCATGACCGCCTCCTGGCACTCAGAGGTCCCTGGCCGTCTGGCTCCACCATCTGTGACCCAGGGGCTGTCTAACTGAATTCCACTGCTCCATCCGCCTGTCCTTGAGAAAGGACTCTGGCATCAATCACCTACAACGTGGCCTGGAGGCGAGGGGTCCCCCTCCCCAGGCCTCCCCTGCTGCAGCTGCCTCCTGTGAAGGACCGCGTGAGGTCTGCTGTGCAGGCCGCTGGGAGGAGGAGGTAAAACACACACCCCGCCATCCGCTGGCCACGGCTCAGGCCGCGTCCCAGAGCTGCTCCCAGCCTGTCCCTCTCCCTGAGGGTCACGGTCTGATTTAAACTTCAGGGCCACAGCCCCGGAGCTTTCAGGTTATTTCCTGGAAAGTGCTCCCATTTTAAAAACTCTCTGAGGAGGAAAATTCCTTCCAACCCTTCTCTGTAATGCGCTTCGGTGGCCGCTGTGAGCAGCTCCGTCCTCTGCCACACTGACGGGCGCGCCTAGTCCCTCTGACCCGCCAGCATCCGCTGGGCTGGCGTCCTGGCGAAGGATTCGGAGGACAAGCCCGTCCCTGTCACACTAGCTTCCCAGTGATACACAAAAAAGAAGCCAAGGGAAAAATATCTACATTGTGCAACCTCTAAGATTGACAATAATAAAAAACTACAATTTTTAAAATGCTTGATGGCCCAACTATGGTATTACATGAAAAAACCCCACAAAGGCAGGGTAGCCCTACACGCGTTGAGGGCAAAACCTAGGCAGGAACGGAGGGGCTGCCTGGGCGGACAGGTGGCCAGCCTTGGACTTTCCAGGTCTCCCAGGGCACCAATCGCTGCTCCAGCCAGATGAGAGGAGCAGGTGGCGGGGTGGGGGTGGCGGTCGGGGGCCATGCGGAGGACCCTGTAGCCCTGCCCGCGGTGGCTGGCCTGTGTGGCCCCACTGCCCCTGCCCGCTGGACTGCACACCACAAACCGTTTGTGTGGTCACCATGGTCCTTCTTCTTCTGGGACCGCCCGGTGCTCCTCGCCCTGGACCAGGAGAAGAAGGCTCCTTTCCGCTTCCTCTCGCCGTCCTCGTCCCCCACGTCCTCGTTCAGGGACCGTCCTGATCTCGATTTCCCACTCAGCTGTCGTCAGACGGAAAGCATTGTTAAAGCCGCATCCAGTCACATTAATGCGGCCGGGAATGCAAGAGGAAGCCGGGGAGGAGCTAAGGAAGTGCTCGCTGCCCTGCAGGGCAGCCCAGACCCACCCAGACCAGCCCTGACCCGCCCAGGCCTGTCCAGAAATGGCGCTGGACCTCCCTCATGCCCCCCCGCCCCCTGCCTCAGCACAGCTCCTCCTGGAAGGTGCATGCCCTGAGCGGCTTTCATTCACCGCGGGTGCCCGACAGGGCACGTCTCGCTTCCTAAAAAGCGGCTCCTCCGTGGCCAGAGCGCGGCAGGCCGGCACCTTTTTTGGCGTGGACACGTTGGAGTGGTCCGAGCTGACGCTGTGCTTGGAGGTCGGGCTGCTGGGCACCTGCTGGGAGTCGGGGAGGGAGCGGCCCTCCACCTCGGCCAGGATGCACTCCTGGTACAGCGGGGACTTCAGAAAGCGCGTGTAGCTATCAAACTTCATCAGGTTGAAAATCTGCGGGGTGCATGCAATGCAATCTGGTTACAGAAGTAACCAGAACAGTAAGCTCTGAAAGTTGAAGGGCACGGGGACCTATAGGAACTTGCTGGCCCTGTACCGAAAGGACATCATTGGCTCTTTTTCTCTGTCCACTGGCCCCAGAATTTCTTTCCAGAGTTCCTTTACATCTGACTACTCTTCTTTATAACACTCCAGGCTTTCCTTTATCAGGCTTAAAATCCACAGATCCCAACGACCTCCATAAAGCCGGCACCACCAGGAGACAGAGGCAGCCAAGGCGCGATCCTGAAGGCGCTGTACCTCATAGGTAAGAATGAACCCCAGACCAGCTGGGAAGCAGAAGGAAGCAAGGACTGCATGGGAAATGCCTTCCTCCATTTTTTACACAGTTCACGTGACTCCGCAACAGAAGCAATCTCTGGAAAGGCCCACAGGGCATGTGCTCTAGAGAACGCGGGCCCAAGGCACGCCCTTTATCGCAGCGATGCCCTAGAACCGAAAGACCCGAACTCGCCTCTGCACGTGCACCGCCCACAAGCCTGAGCTCTCACACAGGTGTGCACGTGAGCAGGCGACAGGTGGCCCCACTGAGATCCGCCGGTGCAGCTGGCCGCGCTCGGACACAGGAGCCAGTGGGAAGACGGGTTCTTTCTACTCCATCTACACTGACTGGCTCCCCTCCTCCCCACCTGGTGGCACTTGGGAGCTCACTGTCTGGGACCTTGGTCTCCGCCCCGCGCCCAGGCCAGAGCCCCTGGGGGAAACAGAAGTGCGGAGGCACCTGGAGCTGCTGCTCCTTGAACATGTCGGGGTGCGGGGCGCTGAGGATGTCGTCTGCCAGCTGGGCCTGGCTGTCGATGTTGACAGGGGTGGTGGCTTTGCTGCACAGGAACTTACTGAAAATCTCACGTGCCCTGTAGGAAAGCTGACAGGACACGTGGATGAGCCGGACGCGCAGACCACAGGCTCCCCCCGCGTGCGTGTTTTCTGCGTGTTTCACTGCTATGTCCCAGTGCCCAACATGGTGCCAGGCCCTGGAGATGCAGTGCCTTGGCCAGTAAACACTCCTTGCTTTACTCAGTACAAGCGAACACGAAAGTTCCACTGAGTGAGCTCCCTTCTGAACTTTCTCAATGACAACTGTGTCCCAGACTTGGGCAGCGCTGTCCCCACAGCACTGGGTCTGTGTGCCGTGCTCCAGTCACGTGGCCTCTGGAACGTGGGAACGGGGTCTGTGCAGCCCTGGTGCCAGGTGCTGACGAGCGGCCTCACCGCGACCCAGGGGCCCTCACTGCCGACCCGGCCCGGCCCCCCAGCTGCCCTTGGCGCCCTGAGAGGGGCCACGGCCGGCGGTGGACAGAAGGCTGGGCTGCAGGCGCTCACGTGCGCTGCGTTGGGCACAGTTGAACATCGTGCCTGTGAGCGGCCCCCGTGAAGGGCGGCATGGGAAGCCGTGGGCGATGCTTTCACACGCCCTCCTGGCCGCCCTGAGGCGGCCCCACCGCGAGACCATCCCGCTCCAGAGCCTGCCCCCACGTGGAGGGACGTACCTCTTTCTTGTCGTGTGCGGGAACATGACTGAAATACTCGCAGGCCTGCCAGAACAGGATGTTTTCTTCACTGAACTCCTTCCTTAGAAAGTCCTAGAAAAACACGGTCAGTGAGCCCCTGACCGTGGCCTGGAAAAGGCCATCCGCAGGCGTTGAGGGCCTGCTCTCCTCTCAGGCCTTTTCCTGGAGCGTTCAGCTCACAGACCACGGGGCGGAAGCGCCTGCGCACGGTCCGCCCGGGGGAGGGAGACACGGTCGCAGCGCCCCACGGAGAGGGCTGCTCTGCGCTGGTGGCTGTGCTGAGCTGAGCGCCCCTGCAGCGGCGGGACCGGCCCACGCGTCGCTGCCCTCCGGGCATTTATGAGGAATCCTGGTGCAGAGCCAGGCGCCCTCTGAACCCCTCCGCCTAAGTGCAAGGAGTCACTTGCACTGGGGTTGCTCAGGGCCTGCATGGTGACCCCGCTCCTCCGCTGCAGCCACTGTCCTGGGGTTGGAGCCCATGTACCGAGCAAGAGCCCGTGGCCTGTCCCTACTCACCGAGAAGTACCGAACGCCCAGGGGGTCCTGCAGGAGACGCTCGAAGGACACGGCCCAGCTGGCAACCCTCCTCTCACGCAGGCGCCGGCAGCTCTGCACGCTGGGGAGGCTGGCATTGCTGCTCAGGCTGTGGTTGCTCACGCAGTCCTTCAGGTCGGCGCCACTCAGCTCTGTGGGGCCAGCACAGACCTCACCTGCACGCCTGTCCCCACTGCCGCCCGAGGGCGGCGGCCGAGGGCTCTCACCAAGTGCTTTCCTTCTCCAGCACACGCCCCCAGGCAGCCTCACTGAGCACTGAGGACATGCCCAGTGTAGTTCTAGGTCCACAGGACAGAGCAGGGGACGGGACTCCCCCAACCCCGGTGGCTGCATGGGGCACACATTCAGCAGAAAGAAGAGCAAGCACAACCCCACACGGCAAGGCTGCCCCGTCAGGGAGCTCCCAAGGGAGTCGCTGTGAGGCTCGGTGGGCGGGAGGCCCGGGGTGGCCACCACAGTACGCGGCGTGGAGGGCAGGACCCACGGCTGGGCAAAGCCATGCCCTGATGCGTGTGCACTTTCTGCACTGGGCTGGTCTCCGAGCGAAATGCTCCAGATGCAGCGTTCAACACGCGTGGCGGGTGCCAGCTCCGCTATAGGCCGCCCCGACGCAGCTGATGGTGCACGCGCCCCAGGCGGTCTGCTGCTGAGCCGCCTACAAAGCCACCGCGCTACACACCTGAGCCCAAGAGGGTAGCATGGGATGCCAAGCATAACTGAAAAACTAAAAATGTTAAACGCAGGAAAAAGACAAACAAATGGGTGGTATTAAATAAAGAGAGAATTCAAACTGAAAACAATGAGCCATGGTTTCCATTACTTTCACATGGGCTCTTGAACAATCTCCCCTTATAAAGGGGGGCACCTGGGACAGCTCACCTCACCCTTGCCACCTCCTGTGAGCACCCTGCATGTGCCGTCCCTGCGTGGGCAGGCCTGGCCCGCGAAACCTGAGAGGAAGGTGCAGAGGCTGGCCAGGCAGGAAGAGGGATATGCCCTGCTTGTTCCTACAACAAAGACACAGGACCAGGGAGTCCCCAGAGCTGCATGGGCATGAGGCCGAGGCCGGCGTGTCAGCAGGACTCTGTGGCATGAGGCTGCCCCACGACACGGCGTTCGTCCTGGGAGTCCCTGAGCGGCTCTCCTGTCTGTCTGCTGCCCCAGGTGCCCTGTCACTTGTGAGCAATGAGATGCCTGGCTGGTCCCGGCAAGGAGTCACGTGCACTAGTTACCTGGCTCCACCTGCAGTCCAACTGCGTAAAAGGCACCTTGTTAGAGAGGAGCGACCAGAGGTGGGAGGAGACTGCAAGGGGTGGGGGTCTGTGAAGACTTGGGAACTCCTGATGGGCAGAGGGGATGTCCGCCCTTAAGTGAAGCCCCCCCAGCAGACATGCTGACGATGGGGGGCAGAGGCCCCGCCTGCAGCCACCATGCCCGCAGCTCAAGGTAAGGGCTGCCCAGCCAGAGGGCTGCACAGGAGGACTGTGCGCAGACCCTGCCATCCAAGGAATGGGGGCCTTCAGGGGCCAGGAGAGCCAAGCCAGGCATTGGACACATTTGACCATATCTGGCTCCCATGCTACGCGGATGCCACTTTGTCCTAACAACTTGGAAAGCACTGAGACACAAGAAGGAAAACAGAAGGTCAAAGCTTGATCAAATACTTCAAACTGCTACAGAAAAAAGTTCAAGAAAGAGTCCGAGGAAGTCACGTGGAACCAGAGGACACTCCAGTCCTTCCGTGAGGCTCACGAACCCGCCAAGCCGCACACGGTGCTCTCATGACAGTGCACCGCCAGTGCCCAGCGCCGACCTTCGGGAGGCTGGGACCCGGAGCCGGTCCCCCCGGCGCACAGCTCGCCACGCGACCGACATGCAGCAGGGCCAGGCAGCAGGCAGCAGGCAGCAGGCAGGGTCCAGGCCAGGCCTCCCGCGCACAGAAGTACCCGGCAACGCCTGGCTTAGAGAACCCCGACCCACAGGGCTCCCCGACGGGAAAGCGCTGCACAGTCCACACTCAGGACGGTGGACAAAAAGTGACCTCACGGGGAGATCAGACCATAAACCCCCGCCAGGCAGGCCAGTGGTGGGCTCTTACACCCAGGCCTCTGTCTTCTTTAGTCAAAGGGTTGCCTCTGCCTTAAGCCGGCCCTGCCCAGCCGGCTGTTCTGTGCCCTCTGCAACGCCTCTCGCCTCTCGTCAGACCCTCCTTCAGGCTACGACCGCCCTCTAGGGAGCTCGGGCTCTCACGATCCTGTAACCGGACCCTGCCTTGCTCTCCCCCCACCCCCGGGCCTCCCTTCTGTTCCCTCCTCACTCCAAAGGCTCAGAAGAGGCTGTGAACACACTCTCAGAGCCCTGTGATCGTGCTCCCAGGCCTATGTCATCAGCTCGGCTCAAGTAAACACTTACAAAAATTCTTTACAGGTTCGGACAGTTAGTGCATCAACAGGATGTAAGAAACACTCCCGTGTCCACCCACACCCACACCCACACGCGCGTCCTCTCGCCCTGGGGCCGGGGTCCTGGACGAGGCCCGGCTCGAAGTCTGACGTCTGCCCAGCAAGCGGAGCACCGAAGGGCCCCACACCACGGCGTTCATGCTCCGCAATTAACACACAGCACAGTATGCTCCCTAATCGGTGTTTTATGGGAACTAGACAAGCGGAGTGTGAAAGCCTCTGGAAAACCAGACCTGGAACACTGGAAAAACACCCAGAACAGAGGGACGAGGCAGGGCCCACCCTGCACGGCGCTAGACACGCCGCGCCCGGCCCTGCAGGCACAAGCAGAGCAGCTGGGCCACGCGGTCAGGGGCACACACGCACCAGGGGCCGTCTGACAAACAGGCGCGCGCCGCCGCCCAGCACACTGCAGTGAGGCCCCTGGCCCGAAGGTTTGGATGTAAAAATGACACTGGAAAAACAAAATAAAACACGGGGTCGTATTTTGAAGGATCTGAGTGAGGAGCCAGAGGACATGAGTCTGGAGCTGTAAATGACAACAGTGACTCCACGGACAACAGAGTGGTGGCCACCACAGGCAGGGGCGGGGGTGAAGGGGGGAAGGGATCCATTTGGCTCTGGGGACAGCGACACACAGGGGACTGTCAAGAAGAGACTTTCCTTCCTTGCAGGTCCCTCCGGCTGGACTGGAGGCCGCCTGAGCTCTGTCCCCACGGGCCAGCCCGGCCCTGAGGCAGGGGAGGCAGAGAGGAAGACGGCCGCCAGCTGCAGACGCGGCTTTTGGTTCTCAGATGAAAGTGGTTTGGGCGCCAGCAGCAGCACAAGCAGGCGACGCAGAGCACCTGCCTCCCTCGCAGCAGCGCGGGGGCGCAGAGCAGAGGCTGCCGCTCTGCTGAGAAGGGCGCCCCGGCCCCGCCCGGACCCCACTCTTGCCTGGCCCCGAGGAGTCGGGAGCACCCCCCCCGCCAACAGTCTCCCGCTCTTCTTCTGGGAAGCAGGCCGCTCACTGCCCTGTTTCTGACTGATACACCCCAGTGCCTACTTCCTGGGCCTCAGCTCGAGCACCAGGGGAGCCTAAAGAGGGGACGGCAGACAGTGACCAGGAAGGCTGGGGCACACATGGCCCTAGACCATGACTCTGGCCATCTCCCCCAGTGACAGCAAGGGCTCCAGTGAGAGGGTGGCCAGTGCAGACCCCTTTCCCTCCTGAGACCTTCAGCCAAGTCTGCGATGGCATGTCCTTGCAAAAAATGTGAAGAGTCACGTGGCAGGTGCAGAGCCCCCTTGCAGAGAGGTTCCGGCGGGAGCTGCCCACATGGGTTACAAAATCCCAGCACCTCCCCTGTGTCATTGACACTCACGGAAGGTCTCTTTTCTTGGGCTCGCTCTGGACCTATTCTCGACACATGCAAAGTGGTGCACGCTGATGGAGGATGAACTTGAACTTGAAATGAAGTTCCTTCAAATGCCAGGATACCCACCCAACGCCAAGGCCAGGAGGTGGATATTCCCATACGCCCCATCCACTGCCTGACTCTCTCTATGTCAGGTGTATGGGGAAACCACACTTCTGCTCTCGGACCAAAGGACACGCCTGTGGCAGAACCCACCCACCCGCCTGACGGCCAGCATCGCTTCAGAAAACATTCCTGGTTTTTACTGTCACTGTTGTGGAATCTTTTTTCTTTCAATTGGCCAGGTGAGTTAAGAAATGCTTTCCTGGTGAGAAAGTTTTAGTTTCAGATTGGCTGAAAAATGGAGAAGCCGCCCCTCTATGTTGGTTGGACACACATGTAGGTCACCTGTTGCAAATGCTGCAGTATTCAGTGTTCTAGATAATTCTGTAACTCAGGCTTTACCCATGTTGTCCCACCAGACTATCTCACCCAAGCCACAACCTCAGGACAAGCACAGCGACGTCTACAGCCCCACCCCTGGGCACCTTTGGGGCTCAGCCCTGCACACATACCTGGAGACCGCGCAAGCCAGCCGGCCCCCGCCAACCACAAGGCGCACACACCACGCGGGACTTTACCTGGGTAGAGCTGATAAGAGCCACTGTGATGCCATTTAACCAAATACTTCCAACCATTCACCGCAAACCACCCCTCTGAATCCATACCAGGGTCAGCCGGCACAGCCCCCGGGGCCCCGGGGAAAGGCTCGGGCCACACACAGAGACATTGTTCCTTAGCTGGCTCCCCAAGGAGGCAAATTAGCGCACTTTCTCTGGACGCAGTGGCACAGGCGGACAAAGGCGGCTCTCCCTGCAGGCTCCTGGAGAGGAAGGCGATCGTGCGCTCAGCACACAGCGCCCAGAAGATGCATGTATAATTCACAGGAGACCTTTAGCCTGCTGCTGCAGCGGAGCTGAATTATTTAGGCAGCTGAGCGCCACCGCACAAAGTGCCCAAGACAAACGCAGGCCTGGCCTCCCACCACGCGGCTCTGCCTTGGTAACTGGGTTTTGTTCAACTAGCAGCAGTAAGGGAAAAAAATAATACTCGTAGCTTTTTATAGTAATTGTGAGGGTTGTAAATGCTTATCTCTTTATGTATGTTCAATCCAAACACATTTCCATCTCACACACGTGAAACATGCCCTTTTTATAAGGGCGACCATCAAGTACTGCACAGGGCAGGAGGAAGGGTCAGGCACTAGGCAAT